TTCGTTTTTCGTATATGGATTATAGAAGCGGAGAATGTTATTGGGTGGGCCACAAACCACCACCTCTCCTCGTGCATCAGTCCGTCTGTTAAGGGGGAACGATTGCATCTCCATCACGATAGGTAATTTTACCTGACTTTTTGACCATTATATTTATATATAATTTTTTTAAGTGTTGTAATGCATGTGTAGTATTCAAAAGGGAATTTTGAGGTTAAAGGAGGAAGAAAAAGAACCGAAGAAGCCTTCAAAGAGTACTCTCGAGGTTTTTCTCTTAGAATATAATGGGAAACACACTCAATCTAATTACGTGTTTTTTTTATCTTTAATTTATCGTATTGATGAGTAAAAAAAATTGGTGCAGGATTTTGCGAGTAACGAGTTCGAACAAGAGTTTGCTTCATCAGTAATTCGCCCCGACGAAATTGGCGTAAAGTTCGACGATGTTGGCGCACTTGAACATGTGAAGAAGGTGTTGAATGAACTCGTTATTCTCCCCATGAAACGGCCCAATCTTTTCTCCCGTGGAAATTTGCTGAGGGTATAATCATCTTTTTTTTTCTTTTTTTTTTTTTTATAGTTGGAATTTTGAAACTGTAATAAAAACGACAAATGTCAGCCATGCAAAGGATTGCTACTTTTCGGGCCGCCCGGGACCGGAAAAACCCTTATTGCAAAAGCTCTTGCAACGGAAGCGGGCGCTAATTTCATCGGTCTTAGTACTGCGTCTCTTACATCTAAGGTAGGGAAATAATTAACGGCATTTCTTGATATTTCATACATATGTAAATGTAATGAATGCTTCTCTCGTTCGATTCTTGTAATGGTTGTTTCTCATGCAGATTTATGGTGATGATGAAAAACTCGTAAGGGCACTCTTCGCCTTTGCTGCCAAGGTGGCTCCTGCCGTTATTTTTGTGGATGAGGTGTCTTTTTTTTTTATGTTTACGTAATTACGTCGTTAAATTTAGTTCTATGTTGAGCTTATTGAAGTCCCGTTTTTTTTTTCTTTAAATAAACTTTGTTAGAATTTTTATGCTTGTATTTGTGGTTACAGGTTGACGATTTACTCGGTGCACGTGGAAAATCCTCCGAGCATGAAGCTACTAGAAGACTCCGGAACGAGTTTATGTTACGCTGGGATGGATTGAATTCGAAAGACAGCCAGAGAATCCTCGTAATTGGTGCCACAAATCGGCCTTTCGACCTTGACGATGCTGTCATTCGTCGCATGCCTAGAAGGTACTTCTATATATATTTTTTTGGGAAAATTACACTTTTCATCCCTCACGTTTACCTCGATTCTACATTTGGTCCTCCATGTTTATAGAAAAATATATTTAGTCCCTCATGTTTCAACAATTGGACATTTTTGGTCATATGGATCAATTTACCGTTAGCCCGTTAGTACTAACGGTAAATTGACGGAAATGACATAAAATGTTAAATGGGAAAAATACAGTTTTTGTCCCTCAAGTTTGCACCGATTTCACATTTGGTCCCCCATGTTCACAAAAAACACATTTGGCCCCTTATGTTTAAAAAATTCAACACTTTTAGTCATTTCCATCAATTTTCCGCTAAAACTAACATAATAAAGTGTGACTGCCTTAACTTACTACTAACGGTCAATTGACGGAAATGACCAAAAGTGTTAAATTATTGGAACATGAGGGATCAAATATTTTTTTTGTGAACATGGGGAACCAAATGTGAAATCGATGCAAACTTGAGGAATGAAAACTGTAATTTTCCCAATGCTAAATTATTGAAGCACGAGGGACTAAATATATTTTTGTGAACATAGGGAGCCAACAAGGCAAACGTGAGGGACGAAAAGTGTATATTTTTTTATTACCACCGTATTTTCATATCTTTAACCGAAATGAAACGTAACAAAATGGAAGTAAGTGAATATCAACTCTAACATAATATGTTTCGTTGCTTGATCTTAGAGTTTATGTGGGCCTACCAAACGTCGAAAACCGTTCGAAAATACTAAAAGTACTTCTAGCTAAAGAAAATCTGGAACCTGGTTTTTCTTTCGATCAACTTGCCAAGGCCACTGATAGTTATTCCGGGAGTGATCTAAAGGTAAAAAAAATAAAATTCTCGCGTTTCATATTTTTTTAATACGATGTTAAACCGGTCGATCTAATATTTTTCGTTTTCTTGACATTGTTCGTCTACTTTTTCAGAACCTTTGTGCTGCTGCAGCATATAGACCTGTGGAAGAACTACTAGAACAAGAATCCAAGGTATTTATCAATCATATTATTATAACTTGTTTCAATATTTTTGTTCTTTTGCATATTTTTATCCTTGAAGCCGGTAATGAAATTTTTATCGTCGATTTTTTTTTTTTTTTATGAATGTCGGTTGTCTACTTACAGGGTGACAAAGTTGACGAAGGAGTTACATTAAGACCACTGAAGTTGGATGATTTTATCCATTCCAAAGCCAAGGTATATATATAAATATATATACAGTGTAGAACCTCGATAAATTAACAACCTCGCTTAAATAATACTTTATTTCGGTCCCAACTCGGTAAATACATATTCAACTATAGTTCGATAATTTAATATTTCACTAAATTAATAGACGTTTATTTGTCCCGACTGTATTAATTTAAAGAGTTTTAACTGTATGTAAAACATAATAATAGCATTAGTGTTCGTTCAGGACTAAAAGATCGATCTATATAACAAATTTTGTAGGTGGGGCCGTCGATTTTGAACAATTCAACGAGCGTAATCAAGCTGAGAGAATGGAACGAGAAGTACGGTGAAGGAGGAAGGGTTTTGGAAAAGAACAATATTAAGAAGAGAAATAAAATTGATGTTATTTAATTAATATATTTCCTAAATATATAGGGTTTAATAGGTATAGAAAGGAACATACTAATTTTCAAGAAGATTAGTTATCTATGGACTGATATCACTATATTAAATTTGTTTTAATAACTAATTTTGGATATTTAATTTTAAATCGAGCTATCCACATATGTTTTCCGTGATTTATTGTATCGTACGGTTGTGTATATGTGCTATTATAATGCGTTCGACAACGTAATAGCGACGGTCAACAGTGTAATAGCGGTGTTCAACAGAACAAATATAGCCGGAATTTTTTGTTATTTTTCATGTTGTTGTGTTTACCGGTCAACAACAACAACAGGAGACGGAATTTGAGTAGGGTTTGATGAGAGACAAAACTGGAATTACTATTATAGTTTGCGTAGACGATTGCCCTTTAAAACGAACGAAAATAAATTGCGTATTTTCGCACATAATTTCCGATTTGATGAAAGTAGAGATTATAGACATGATAAAGTCGACTAATTTTAAACCCGTCCATGCCATGTTAGGTCACCGAAGGGCGAAGTCAATTCGTTTTCGACCAAGTGAACTAATTTAGACAATCAATTTATGTTATTTTTTTTTTTTTTTGAGACCATTTATGTTAGTTGACTTATTCATATTCTAAATGTTAGGGTTTTTTTTTTTTTTTTTGATTTATAAGAGCAAATTTGATTATAAAAAAATTTATATGGAGGGATTTGAATTTTAATACAATTAAAACTTAAACTTGGAACAAAAAAACCTATTTTTGAAACTTAATCTACAAAAAAATAAAAATAAAATTACCATACCTTTTTTTTTTTTAAATATATATATATATATATATATATATATATATCTATATATTTGTTTTACTCTGTCGGAAGAAAACCTAACATAAACAGGAAAACTCTAATACAGAGAGACACCCAGCATATATCTCTCTCCTCTATTTAACCCCACCCCCACCCCTGGTACGTAAAAATTAACCAGAAGTAAAAACAGATCAAAAGGTGAAAATTTTCTTCTTTTTTTTTTTTCTGAAAATTTTACCTTAGTAATGCATGGGTGTTTTTCTATTTATGCTTTTTTGATGATATTTATTCGGTTGTTCTCACTAGAGAAGCCATGATTTTAAGTCCGCGGGGCCAAAACATTAAAAAATTTACGAGGGGGGCGATAATATTAGTTATACATGAATTTTTATAAATTTTTACATCAAATAAAGGGAATCATGAATTGTTGGAGGGGCCATGGCCCCCTCCCGACCCTATGCTGGCTCCGGTACTGGCTGAGTTTTTCGGGCACTATTTATGCGTAGTTTGAAAATATTTCTTCTATATTGATTTTCTTTTTTTCCTACTAGTTACTATTTGCATTGTCTATCAAAATTTATTGCTTCAATTTTCAATATAGTCAAAGCAGGGTCAACATACGTGTGAATTGTGATCGAATTCGTGTAACGAAAATCTGCACTTTTATAACTTTAGGGTTTCGTATATTATGAAGATTTGTCGAAAAAATATATGGGAGTTAAAAAATTGATAAAAACTAGTGTATGTTTCTGCAGGTCGTACGTCGATATTTTTAAATCAAGAATGAATACAATAGGTGGCATGACGAGATTGAACGACACCGGATACTTTTCCTCGGGTTTTTACGGTGGAGAATGTTTAACTTCTGCAGCAAGAAACTTAAACTATATTAAGTATCCATCGAATTCTATGTTGTATGTGAGTCTTGCTTATAGAACAAGGAGCATAAAACTACATAGGAGGGCAGATAATTATTACTATAGTCGAAGAAGTTACGTGGTGAAATCTAATCAGAGCTCCGGTACTAATGAAACGACGGATGCGCGTGAAAATCACGTGCCCGAATCTTGCGATATTGCTGCACAAGATGGATTGACAGGCAAGCAAGATCGAATAGTGGAGAATGCGGAAACTAAAAAGCAGCCTAGTTCGAAAGGTGTGGATAAGACATATTATCCGGCGGTTTCAACGCGAGGGAAAATATTTAGAGACGAGTACTTGACAAAGTTCGTTCGGTGGGAGGACATAACCGACTCGCGGGACGATTCTCCTAACTATCCAATTGAGTACGTAGTATACGGTGCCAGCTGTCGCATTTATTTATTTATTTATTTTTATTTTTAAATCTTGCATGTATTGATTTGTTACTTTCTCGGGACGCGGTGGCTTGCAATTTTCTTGTAGCGAACGCACTTATAGTCTCCTCTCGGAATGTATGGCGTCGCATTTGAGGCATACGCAGCTCGCCAAAGACCACGGTGACTATTTGCCTTCTTCGAGTAGGAAAATTCTGCTTCAGAGTGCTCCAGGTCAGTTTTTTCAATTTTATCTCGATTTTTTTTCTTTCACCAAGTTTGGTCTACTCTTTGAACATATAGTAGAACCTTGATAAATTAATAACCTCGATTAAATAATAGTTTCTTTCGGTCCGACTCGGTAAAAACGTGTTAAATTATTAACTCGATAATATTAATAATTCGCTAAATTAATAAAATTTCCTTGGTCCTGACTCTATTAATTTATAGAGGTTTAACTGTAATAAAATGATCTTATATTTTATTTAAGGTACGGAGCTATATCGGGACGGATTGGTGAGAACACTTGCGCGCGAGTTGCAAGTTCCAATGTTGGTTCTCGATAGTGGCGTTTTACCACCCCCATACGTAAGATTGGAATTTTATTTAAGCAGCATTGCACTTAAAATATTTGAAATGCGTGGCTCTGATACCAATGTTGCATAATGAGCTGACAATGAAATTTATCATTTAATATTAATATCTCCAAATATATATATATATATATATATATATATATATATATATATATATATATATACATTTATATGCTAACTAAATATTGAACTTTTCAGGCCCTCAGTGAAAGCGATTCGGACGAGGAAAGCGATTGGGATGAGGAAAGTACGGATGTTAGTAGTGATGATGATGAAAGCGATTCGGATGAGGAAAGTGATTCGGATGAGGAAAGTACGGAAGTTAGTAGTGATGATGAAGTCGATTCCAAAACTTCGACTGGAACTCACGACGAAAAGGTAAATATCCCATTTCAACATTGTAGTTTAGATATTTCGAAAAAATTCTAGGGTTTGACACGTACTACCACTACTACTACTACTACAACTACGTATCCAATCTGTGTAAGTACTATAATGACCTCGGAACTAAACCCGTTATTTTCTTGCGGCGATTCATATGTATACTCCATTGTTTCTATTGTGTATGGCAGTGTGTTTGTGTAAAATCTGAAAGCTCTTCACCTTCTGAGAAACCTAAGTATCGGCCAAAGAAAGGTTAGAACCGAAGATTTCCGTAAACTATCGAGTTTCTTGTTTTTTTCTTTCTTTCTTTCTTAGGTTTTTAATTCTCATTGTATCTCTGTTTCTGTTTTCAGGGGATAGAGTGAAGTACGTGGGGCAGACCCTCGAAACAGAGAACACCAATACTCAAATACGAAAGTAATTGCAATTTTCGTCCCTATACTTTACCTCTTATTCGTGTTCAATCCTAAACAAGTTGGAGTTACATTATTCCTTCCCAAAACATGCCACTTTTCTTCTATTTTCGACAATTTTGCTGGTTTGTTCGCGCGGAAAACAACATTTTTTTTTTTTTTACGGTGGTGTTTGCAAAAAAATTTAGAAATAGATTATGAGTTTTTTTCTGTTCATAATCTCTTCGTAGGTGTTTGCAAAACAAACTTTTGTTTTTGCTTCTCTTAAAATAAGCTGCTTTAAGAACCCAAGTAGCTGTTTTTTTTTTTTTTTTAGTTGTTTTTCGAACTAATTTGCAAACACCCAAACTTTTTAGAAATAAACAGTTAATCCCAATTTAACCCACAATCGCTAACTTCTACTTTTAAATAAACTTTTACAGACACCACCTAAATTTCACTTCTCATTTCTTCAATTTTAGTTATTCCCAAATCTCCACCAACCAATTCCCCTCTACAAATCCCTAATTCATCTTTCCCAAATCCCTAATCCCACCTCCTCTTCGTTGAAGAAGGGATTTCTTGTGCAAAAATACTAAACAATGCCTTCATTTAGTTACATGGATTATTATGAATTTAATTAATTAATGATATTTGCAAAATACTACACAATTACAGGATCTTGTATAATGACCAAAGAGGGGAGGTGCTTAAAGTAAATGGTGACAAAGTAGACGTTATCTTCTCCGTGGGAATCGGATCACGCAGAAACGACGAGGGAATCTCGGAAAGATTTATACAACAATCAGCAGTTTATTCCCTTGATGGTACATGCATTGTCTTTATACATTACGAATGCAGTTAAAAGTAGTTTATATCATCATTTTTTTTAGTAATTATTTATCCACGAAAAACGTCGAAATTTTTCGTTTTAATTTGCAGTGAAGGACATTGTACGAGATCCCAGTGCCAAAACTCACGACTGCTTTGTTGCTTTGGAAATGATTTGCGAGGTACTATTTTTCAGATATTGCAAAATGACATAACGTACGTAACCCCATCACACACCAAGTTTAATTTAGCGCCCGTTTGGGTAAGCTTATTATAAACTGCTGATAAGTTCTAACATCTGATAAGCGCCTGAAGAGCTGATAAGTTGCTACGTCTTACAGTGTTTTCGGATAATGAGCTTATAAAATTATTTTCACACTCATTATAAGATCTTAAATAAAAAAGGTAGAGTAGAGGTACTGTTTAAAAAAAAATCTTAAAAGTTCTCAACGAGCTTATTTTTTTAAAAATTGCCAAACACTTTAAATGAACTTATAAGCTCTTAAACATCTTATAAGCTCTTTGTACTGATTTAAAAAAAAATACAGGTTATAGAGTCTGAACAACCACTTGTTGTCTATTTTCCGGATTCTTTTATGCGGTTGCCTAGTACAGCTTCACGTGAAACTCGTCGAGATTTTATGGCGTATGCAGTGTATTTATTTGATAAAACATCCGGTCGTGTGGTTTTAATTTGCGGGCAAGACAAGTGGAAATATACGGAGAAATATGTAAGTTTTTAATCAGCACACCAATTACATTTAATTTAAATGAAATTAAATGCCTCCAATTTGTGTATCTAGATCAAGAATTGCAGAGTATGATGTTTAATTTCCTTTTTTTCTTTTTTTTTTTTTTCAGCCTTCTTCTCTGATTACGGAATTAAAAGCCACTAAGCGATCCGAAGTCGAATATCTAGACAAGCTATTCAATAATGTTGTGAGTATAAACCCCCCCGAGGTATATATATACAACCTATTCAATAATGTAGATCAATAATCGCTTCTCGTTTGTTTACCACCTAATTATTTAACACGTTCAAATGTTGTTATAGACAAGGCGATTTGAGCAGTACTATTATGTTTTTCGATTGCAGGACGAAAATCTGATGAAGAAATTCTGCAAACAGATTGAACAAGATAGGAAAACAGTGATATCTAGAAGCAACCTCAGTCAAATGCGCAAGGTACATATATATATATATATATATATATATATATATATATATATATATATATATATATATGGAAAATTACAGTTTTCTCCATCAAGTTTGCATCTATTTCACATTTGGTCCCCTATGTTCACAAAAACACATTTGGTCCCTCACGTTTCAATAATTTAACGCTTTTGGTCATTTGCGTCAATTTACCGTTAGTATGTCAGTTAAGTCATTGATGACCACACGCTTGATTCCGTTAGTTTTAACGGAAAATTGACGGAAATGACTAAAAATGTTGATTTTTTTAATGAGAGGGACCAAAAGTGTTTTTTGTGAACATAGGGGACCAAATAGGAAATTGGTGCAAACTTGAGGGACTAAAACTGTATTTTTCTCATATATACACACACACATAATGTTTACTCATTTTTTGATCAGGTTCTCAAGGAGAACGGTTTTTTACACATGGGCTTGGAGCACGTAAACACCGATGGCGTGATATTGACAAAACGGAGTAAATCAGCAACCATGCATGCTTAATTATCTTTATTTCTTGTGAATATATATTATATATATGTATATGTATATGTAATTTCATTTTGTATATATTGATTACAGAAGCAAAGAAGATTATTGGCTGGGCAGCAAATCATCACCTCTCTTTGTGCCCCGTTTCTTCCGTTAAGTCGGAGAGGTTGTATGTCCCTCATGAAAGGTAAATTAAATTAAATTATATGTCTTTAATTATCTTACTATCTTAATTAAGTAATTAATTAATTAATCAGTGAAAATCGATTGTTCATGTGCATGCATGTGTGTACTTTACTGTGTACGTAGCCTTAAACTCGCGATCTCGAGACTTAAGGAGGAGGTAATGGAGTCCAAGACGCGTACAAAGAGTCCCGAGGATCTTGCAGAGGGCAAATACGAAAGAATCTTTGTTTCATCCTTAGTTCGCCCCGACGAAGTTGGCGTAAAGTTCGACAATGTTGGCGCACTTGATCACGTGAAGAAGGTGTTGAATGAACTCGTTATTCTCCCCATGAAACGGCCCGATCTTTTCTCCAGTGGTTTGCTAAGGGTATAATCGTCTTTTTTTTCCCAATTTGTATAACAGGAATATTTAATTGTAATTAAAAAAAAAAAAGTTGGTACATAAATTACATGTTAATTTATGTCTGCATGCAGCCATGCAAAGGGTTGCTACTTTTCGGGCCGCCCGGGACCGGAAAAACCCTACTAGCAAAGGCACTTGCAACGGAAGCGGGAGCTAATTTCATCAATGTTACATCTGCATCACTTACATCTAAGGTATATATACATAGGTCAAATAACGGCACTAGATGATGAGTACTATTTTAATCGAGATATAGAAATTTAGGGTTTTCGTTCGAGTTAATCGATCTTCTAATTAATTGCATGGTTTTCTCATCCATGCATGCAGTGGTATGGGGAGGATGAGAAACTTATAACTGCACTCTTCTCCTTTGCTCGCAAGATATCTCCTGTAATCATCTTTTTGGATGAGGTTAGACCTATTGTGTACATACATATATATATATATATATATATATATATATATATATATATATATATATATATATTTTGTGATGGTCAAATTAGTATTTGTTTCATAAGAATTTAGGGTTTACAGCTGAGTGTGTTTGTTTACAGGTTGACGGTTTACTCGGTGGTCGTGGAAAATCCAGCGAGACTAGTAGAACAATCCGGAATGAGTTTATGATGTTCTGGGATGGATTGACGTCGAACGACAGCCATAGAATACTTATACTTGGTGCCACAAATCGGCCTTTTGACCTCGATGAACCTATCCTTCGCCGCATGCCTAGAAGGTACCTTTTTTTTTTTTTTTTTATAATAAATTTTCATAAGTGAAAATGTAACAAAATTGAAATTAAGCGAATATATGTTGATCGACTCTGACAGAATATTTTTTCGGTTGGTTGTTAGGGTTTATGTGGACCTACCAAATGCAGAAAATCGGTTGAAGATACTTAAAGTACTTCTAACCGATCAAGAAAATTTGGAATCCGGTTTTTCGTTCGAACAACTTGCGCATGCCACTGATGGTTATTCGGGTAGCGATCTAAAGGTAATAATGATTCGTACGCGCGTTTCATATGTACATACGATTATTGCTAATCATTGTGTCTGAAAATTTGCCGACATTTTTTTTTTGTTGTCGTCTTTTTCAGAACCTTTGCGTTGCCGCAGCGTATAGACCTGTCGAAGAACTACTACAAGAAGAGAGCAAGGTAGACAACTCTACTATTATTTATCAACTAATCATTAATGGGCAAAAGACAGTTTTGGTCCCTCGTATTTGCACTGATTTCACATTTAGTCCCTCATGTTAAAAAAAAACATTTGGTTCCTTATGTTTCAAAAATTCAACATTTTTAGTCATTTCCGTCAATATTTCGTTAGTACTAACGGAATCAAGCGTGTGCCCATCGTTGCCTTAATTGATGGAGTAACGGTAAATTGACAAAAATGACTAAAAGTGTTAAATTATTAAAACATGATGGACCAAATGTGTTTTTTGTGAACATGGGGACCAAATGCGAAATCAGTGTAAAGTTGAGGATGAAAACTGTAATATTCCCAATCATTAATTATAATTTAAAACTATTTTTCTTAAGGAAAATTTAATTGGTTGTCTCCTTACAGGAGGGTGGGAGAGTTGATGGAGGAGTTTCAACATTAAGACCACTGAAATTGGATGATTTTATTCATTCCAAAGCAAAGGTAATTAAATTAAATTTATTTCTAAAAATTCAAATTCAGCCATATATGGTAGCAAGCATTTGTATGGTTAATTAATTATAATTACGAAAACGTTCGTCTAGGACTAAGATTACGATATAACGTAACTTACAACGATTTGCAGGTGGGACCGTCGGTTTTGGAGAATTCGTTCAAGCTGAGAGAATGGAACGATCAGTATGGCGAAGGAGGAAGCAGAAGAAAACGACGATTTGGTTTCGATCTCAATCTTAACAAACAAATGTTTGATGATGAGAGAGCGAGGGAGAAATAATGATCATATGATTACTTCATATATTTTAATTAACAAACTAATTATACCGTTATTTCTTGAATGAACTGCAATTCTTGGTATATGTTCCAAATCCCATTTTTTTGTGGTGAAAAAACGGGTTCATCTTCCACTTATAACACACAATTTCACAATTTCACCGTTGCTGAGAAAAAATAGTATAAATGGTCTTTATGTATTTCATCAAAAATAATAAAATAAGCGTAAATTAAACGCATATCCTAGAGGTATACTAAAATAACTTTAAGGTCCATGTGGTATCGATAATTACACTCACCCCGTGAAACATTGTTAGAAACTCTAATAAGATAATGCATTGGTGATTTAAAAAATATTAGGACAGTCATGTCACCTCCTAACTCTATGTTATCTCCACTACGATTGTAAAAAATAATTAACAATCTAAAAATTATATTGTAAATTTCAAAAAACTATTGACACATAAAATAAAATATCAAATTATTATGCCTAAAATACAATCATATGTAATCCATAATCTCATAATTCTAAGTTTAATAATAATTCTTATAATAATAGCATAGTTTAGTCAAAAAATTATAAAAATAAGTTTGTATATTATAACTCAAAGCACCAACTCATTAGGAGAGTTGCTACATAGACAGTCTCTATTGTTAGAGTAGAAGTTTACGGTTTGAATCATGTTCTTCCCATACTTCTTCAATTTGTAATTACATGATTTGAGTTTCTCAAAAAAAAAAAGGGTAAATTACACTTACACCTCTAAAATATGTTAAAATAACTTTATGGTTCCTGTGGTATTTGTAATTACAACCACACCCTTGAAACAGTTACCGGAGCCAAGATTTCATGTCCTAGAGACCAATATGCACTATATTTGTTTCATGCCGGACCGTTAATGCTACCACAGATGTAAACTTATAAACCTTATATAAAATAATAAGGGTTTAATAAATGTTAGGAGAGTCATGTCACCCCTAACTCTATGTTGTCTCCACCACTGCTTGAAACTAATAGGCTGTTAGAACTCTAACGGAATAACTTATCCAATACGTTATTCCATAAGCGTTTCTAACAACATTTTAGGGGTGATTGTAATTACCGATACTACAGGGACCTTAAACTTATTTTAGCATACATCAGGGATATAGTTGTAATTTACCCTTAAAAAATAAAACAATTTTCCCTATTGCTTGCGAAAGAAGTAAAAGAAAGAATTATTTACTTATATACTTTGAAGGTCAAACATAAGTTACTAAATTACGTAACAAATTATTATTAAACTCAAAAAGATATGGAATTTTTTTCTTGTCTCGAACAAATTCGAACAATAAAAAATATTACCTTAATAACCCTGTCTAAATATAAAAGAGAATCCACCATAGACAAAAACATAGTTACACAAGGACTCAACTTCTCTCTCTTTTACATAACCCCCGGGTTATATATAGCTTTTTGTGCAATAAACAATTACAAGAAGAGAACTAAAACCAAAAGGTCAGTTTTTTTCCTCTCTGTTCTGAAAAATTTATGTTAATATCTACTTATGCATGTCTGACTACACGTAAGCATGGAAATTCAGTAGAGAAGCAAAGTATCTAACGTTGGGAAAATTTGAAGTTCTTGTTGATGATATTATTGTTTATTGGGTTTACGGCGGTGGAACCGTAATTTTGTACTCTCGAAAGCTAAACATGTTTTTTTTAATCTTATTAACCAATTTATTGTTGTCAAATTTTGTAATTAGTTTTTATGCTGTGTATGTAGTAGCTTAAAAGTTTGCGTCTTTATTGATAAGTTGCTTGATCTCTCTGTTTTTAGGGTTTACTGCCTGTTTTGTTTTTAGGGTTTACTGCCTGTAAAACAAATTTTATTTGTATTTGTCGGGAAGTTTTATGTTACATTGGGTGATTGTTAATTGCGGATGGGGTTAAATAACCTCCCACTAAGTGTACATACACATGTGTGTGTGTGATTATGTGCAGATCTACGGTTAATAATTACTCGGTGTAAATAATTAAGTGTAGCATAGAATTTCCCGTATTTGTGTGTTTGCTTGATCTCTGTGTTTTTAGGGTTTACTGTCTGTAAAACAAATTTTACTAGTATTTGTCGGAAGTTCTATGCTACATTGGCTGATTGTTAATTGTACATGGGGTTAAATAACCTTCCACTAAGCACACATGCAGATGAGTGTGTGTGTGTGTGTGACCAGCTATGTGCAGATCTACAATTAATAATTACTCAGTGTAAATAACTGGACGTAACATAGAATTTCCCGTACTTCTTGTCTGTGTTTGCTTGATCTCTGTGTTTTTAGGATTTACTGTCTGTAAAACAAATTTTATTAGTATTTGTCGGGAAGTTCTATGCTACATTGGGTGATTGTTAATTGTGGATGGGGTTAAATAACCTCCCACCAAACACACATACACATGTGATTATATACAGATCTACGACTAATAATTACTTGGTGTAAATAACCGAGTGTAGCATAGAATTTCCCGTATTTGTCTGTCGTTTATCCATAATCCATATAATACAATTATGTATATTATGAATATTTCGAAAATAAATAAAAAATTAATAGGCTTGGGCGAGAAAATTGATAAAAAGTATATATATTTACGGCCAAATCGTTGTTTCTGCAGGTCTATATATTTTTTTTTCAGGTAAAATAAGTTGGGAGTGTAAATAATGAAAACAAGAAACGGCATCATGAGGTTGAAATCAACCTGCAGATATTTCTTCAGTTCAAGCCCTGCACCAAGAGCAGTGGCCGATCGTACGTATAATCATTCGATTCAGACGTATTTGTCGAATGCTATGTTGTACGATAGAAAGTGCACAAAACCACATATTGGGAGGTGGGATTTTATGCGAAACCATTGCATGGCAAGATTCTACAGCTCCGCGGTTGATGGAAAGAATGTAGGGGAAGGTCATAATGTGGCCGACTTCTCCGTAAAGCAAATAATTCGGAGTCGTTTGGATAACTCACAAAATCGAACAGAAAATATTGAAACTCAAAATCCTTGTGTGGAGCGCACGACGAAGAAGGACGAGGCTCCGATTTTAACACGAGTTGAAAGATATAGAGACGAGTTCTTGAAAAGGATCGTCCCGTGGGAGGAAATAACCGACTCGTGGGACAATTTTCCTTATGACATTAAGTACGTGTTTACATTGGGCTTTTGTAATATTGTACTACTCGAAAAATAACAAATACTATGTTTACATGTGACAGTATGCTGGCTCCGCCACTGCATGTTACTAATAATAAGTACTGAAACCGAACGTACTACTCGATAATATTGTACTAGAACTAGTAAAATAACAAAATGTTTTGGAAGCATTGGGGGGCTATGGCCCCCTTGTGGTGACTCAAGATTTTTGTGGTTACTCGTTACTTTTTTTGTGGTTACTCAAGATTTTGTAATTCTTGCAGCGAACGTACTAAAAGCCTTCTATCGGAATGTCTAATCCCGCGCTTGAAAAAGGATCTTAAGAGAGACTACAGTGGTCGTTTGGCTTCTTCGAGTGGGAGAATTATGCTTCAAAGTATACCAGGTATTTTTTTTTTCAAATAATTTTTGGTGTATTCGTTTTCTTGTTTTATGTTTACGGTTAAGAAAAATGTATTGTGATTTTATTTATTGTTAATTTTTTTTTTTTTTTAAGGTACGGTGCTATACCGGAATAGATTGGTGGGAGCGCTCGCACGAGAGTTGCAAGTTCCGATGTTGGTTCTCGATAGCAGTTTTTTACCCCCATACGTAAGCTCGCTTCGGATTTTTATTCCGCCTCTTCTTCGAAATTTTTGCGCAAGAAAATAATAATAAATTCGGTTGTGCTAATTAACTAACTATTAGATGAATCTTCAGAGCCTTAGTGAAGATGGATCGAACGATGATATCGCATCAGATTCTGAAGATGAAAATGAAGATGAAAGTGATGAAGAATATAGCATGGACGATGAAAGTAGCGACGACGAAGATGAAGACGATTCCGTAGCTCCGCCTGCAGCTTGGGGAAGGGTAAATAATCACATTGAATATTGGAGTTTATAAAGTTCCAAGACTTATAACAAATGCAATTATAAAATTTAAATATTTCAAAAATCGTCTTCGATCGACATTATCTAAATAAGATCACTCGCGATTTTGACAGTGTGGACATTGGAAAGGACCATCTAAAAGTTCGTCATCATCGTCATCATCATCATCAACAACATCCTCGAAACCGGAGCCCGAGAAAACTATTTGTTTACTAAAGGAAGGTAACACTATATACTTATATATATGCTACCAAATGTAAAATAAATAAATTAAATAAATAATCATTTATTTGCTGCAATTTTGTAAAATTCCTATAAATACAATGTTTTCTTAGCAAACATCATTTTTTTTTTTTGTCGTCAGGGGATAGAGTGAAGTATGTTGGACCGACGGCCGATTCCACTAATGAGATTAAAAGGTCATTGTCCATATTAGTTGTTACCAAATTTATCTCTAATTTGTTTTTAGGGTAAATTACAGCCAAAACCCCTCAGGTAAGGTCAACTTATAAAAATACTTCTTATGTTTGGGTACTTACAACAACCTCATTAATTCTGAATCTTCTTACAGGTCCATTCTTGCAGTATCAAATTCAGCTGAATCTTCTAGATTATATGGAATATTCTCCAGTTTGTACTCGTTTTACCCCAATCGAGCTCTACATTTTGGAACAATGTGTCTCTTGGCTTGTTAATATCAGATTGTGGTGCATCTGAAACTGCATTTTTGCACAAAACGAGTACAAACTAAAGAAAATCCCACGAAATTTAGAAGATTCTATTGAATTTGACACTATAAGCGTGAACTTATAAGAAGATTTATAGTCGAGGGGACTGGTTCTAGTTACCAAAAATATAGGGGCTTTTTCGTAATTTTGACATTACTCCAGGAAGGTGGCCGTAATTTATCATTTGTATTTAGGGTAAATTACAAACACCCCCCTGAGGTATGGCCAAATTACAAAAACACCCCTCTTGTTTGGATAATTACAACCACCCCCATCAACTCATCAAATTTAGTGGAATCTTCGAGATTATATGGAATATTATCACTTTTGTACCCGTTTTATCCCATTCAAACTCTACATTATGAATCAAGATGACCATAATATGTGATTTTTAGCTTGTATATATGGAGGTCTAAGAAAAAATCATAGTTGAGGGGGTTAGATGTAATTATCCAAACAAGAAGGTTTTTTTTGTAATTTGACCATACCTCAGGGGGTGTTTGTAATTTACCCTTTGTTTTTATAATCCTACGGACTAATAAAATTTTATTTGCAACAAAAATAAAATTTACAGGATTTTGTCAACGGGACAACGAGGGGAGGTGCAAGAAGTAAACGGTGACAAAGTAGCCGTTATCTTCTCCTTGAGTGACCTGGCAACAAAACAAACTGATCCACAACCATCACTCTCTTGGCTTGATGGTATAATACATACATATATGCATATATATTATATATCTCGTATTCGATAATCGATATCTGAAATTTTCTTCAACTGGAGAATCACATGATCTCTAACTATACAGCCTTTAAAAATTGCAGTGAAGCACGTCGAACACGACTGCGATGCTAAAATGCACGACTGTCACGTTGCGATGGAAGTGCTGTGTGAGGTTATCAAGTCCCGACAGGCGCTCATCGTCTATTTTCCGGACTCTTTCCGGTGGTTGCCTAGTTCGGCTTCGAGAAAATCCCGCAGAGAGTTTGTCTCCAACACTAAGAAATTGTTCGGCCAATTAACTAACGGGCACGTGGCTTTGATTTGCGGGCGAGACAAGTGGGAAAATAAAGCCAAAAAAGTAGAGAAATATGTAAGTTAATAATTCTAGTACGTAACACTAAATATTTGTCTGCATGCATGCATGCATGCAGCTTGCGAGCCAGAATTTTAAGTTCGCAGGGCCGATCGAATGCATTAAAACTTTTATTAGGAGACGGATAATGTTAAATTATACACAGATTTTTTTAAATCTTTACATAAGATATAGGAATTCGAGAATTGTTTGGGGGGGGGCATGGCCCCCTATGCTGGCTCCGCCACTTATGCTTTGCAATAATAATACCATGCTGTTTTTCTTTTTAATTTTTGAAGTTTTATTTTTGCAGCCTGCTTCTTTGGGGAAACTTATTGACGAATTAAGAGCAACTAAGCGAAACACGAGTGACGGCGCAAACAAGCTATTCACTAATGTTGTGTATATAAAACCCCCAAAGGTGATATATACTTCTCCTTAAACCATCTTATAATTTCAGAAATTTTATGGGTTTTTTTTTTCCGCTTCGATCGGTAAAGCATAAGGGGGTCATGGCCCCCATAAAAGTTAAAACAGCTTCATATGGAACACGGTGATTTGAACGGTTAATTACTAACATAATGATTTGCAGGACGAGGATCTGATGAAGAAATTCTGCAAACAGATTGAAAACGATCGGAAAACAATGATATCTAGAAGCAACTCTAACGAAATGCACAAGGTATATATACGTATAGATCAAGAATCGTGTATTTAATTCATAACTTTTTTGCTAATTAAGTATATTTAATTTAGTCATTTTTTCCAGGTTCTCACGGAGCATGGCTTGTTATGCACGAACTTGGATAATGTAAAAATCGACGACTTGATACTGACAAAATGGAGTAAGATCGAATGAAGTCTTTGTACTTATTTTTTTTATCATTTTTTTTCTTTTTTTTTTCCGAAATTCGAATTGTGAATGTACGTAATTCGATATTTGTATATATGAATTATAGAAGCGAAGAAGGTCATTGGTTGGGCCACAAATCATCACCTCTCTTCGTGCATCGTTCCTCCTCTCGAGGGGGAACAGTTGCATGTCCCTCATGAGAGGTAATATAATTAATTAAATTAAATGCTTTAAATATTATTAGTTTTTTTAAATTTAGACTTAAATATTTCATATTTGTCGTGTGTAGCCTTAAACTCGCGGTTTCGAGGTTGAAGGAGCAGGAAAAAGAGACCGACGAGGCCGAGAAGCCTACACCAAAAAAAAGTGTTCAGGTTTGTCTCTCTTATTTTCTAAGTATAAATATGAACACAATAATCAGTTTATTACATCTTTAATTTTTAATTTTTATTTTTATTTTTATTTTTATTTTGACCAAAAATAATTCTGGGATGCAGGATCTTGCAACTGGTGAGTATGAACGTTCCTTTGTTTCATCAGTGATTCGTCCCAAAGAGATTGGCGTAAAGTTCGACGATGTCGGCGCACTCGATCATGTGAAGAAGGTGTTGAATGAACTTGTCATCCTCCCCATGAAAAGGCCCGAGCTTTTCACCCGTGGAAATTTGATACGCGTGAGTAATATATAAATATATATATATATATATATATATATATACACAACAGAACCTCGATAAATTAATAACCTCGTTTAAATACTATAACTTTTTTGGTCCAGACTCAAAGACAACATGCTAAAAAAAGTATTCCGATAAATTAATATTTTACTAAATTAATAGAATTTGGCTGGTCCCAAACTGTACCAATTTATAGATGTTTAACTCTCTCTCTCTCTCTCTATATATATATAATATATATCATCGATATCTCGGTTTTTATTTATTTATTTAGTACGTATTATGACAAAATTTGAACGTGTAAGAATATATTATGTGTTTGTTATGCAGCCATGCAAAGGATTGCTACTTTTCGGGCCGCCGGGGACCGGAAAAACCCTAATCGCAAAGGCTCTCGCAACGGAAGCAGGAGCTAATTTCATGAATATTTCCACTGGATGTATTACATCTAGGGTAGGTCAAACAATTATGTAAAACATGCATATATGTAAATAGAAAAAAAAAGCTTAATTACGTCTCGTTCGACTTTCTTCTCTAACGTTGTTTCTCATGTGCAGTGGTATGGGGAGGATGAAAAATTTGTAAGAGGACTCTTCTCCTATGCCGCCAAGCTGGCTCCTGTCGTTATTTTTGTCGATGAGGTGAGCCATATACATTATATATATACATTGGAATTTTTTTTTTTTTTTAATTTTATTTTATGTGTGGTATGCATGTGTAATTATATTTGTGGTTATTACAGGTTGACGATTTACTCGGTGCCCGTGGAGGAAACTCTGAGCATGAATCTACTAGAAGATTCCGGAACGAGTTTATGTTACGCTGGGATGGATTGAAGTCGACAGACAGCCAGAGAATACTTGTACTTGGTGCCACAAATCGGCCTTTTGACCTCGACGATGCTGTCATTCGCCGCATGCCTAGAAGGTACTTTTTTTTTTCTTTTTTATAATTATTATTAACATATTTTCATGTATTTCACCAAAGTGAAAATGTAACAAAAACGGAATTAAGCGCGAATATTAAACTCTGACATAATATTTTTTTGGTTGCTATTAGAATTTATGTAGACCTACCCGACGTAAAGAATCGTACGCAGATACTAAAAGTACTTCTTGCTAAAGAAAATCTGGAATCCGGTTTTTCTTTCGAGCAACTTGCAAAGGCCACCGACAGTTATTCTGGGAGTGATCTAAAGGTTTATTTATTTATTTATTTTTTGTATTTGTTTCTATATAGGGTTACATATATATAGCTAATCGTACGTGGTCTAAACTTTTTCCGATTTTCCGTTAAATTTTTCTTTTTTCAGAATCTTTGTGTTGCTGCAGCATATAGACCTGTGCAAGAACTACTACAAGAAGAAAGCAAGGTATATATAAAACAATAGTATCATTAATTATACTATTTTTTAAAATTTATTTTTTTAAATATATCAAAGGGTAGTTCCATAAGTAGTGTCCTATGATTATTTGGATGAATATATCTGTCACCTTATTACAGGAATATTGTATCTATATTTCTAATTAGATTTTCTAATCCTTAATCTCCACACATGCAGGGTACGAAAGTTGATGGAGCTCCGGCGTTAAGACCGCTCACGTTGGACGATTTTATTCGTTCCAAAACTACGGTAAATAAATTAAATCATTTCGAACCATAATAAAAATTGTAATAATGTTCACTTATTCGGACTAAACTATCGATCGTTATAATAACAATTTGCAGGTGGGACCGTCGGTTTCGGACGATTCATCGAGTGTGATCAAGCTGAAAAAATGGAATGAGCAGTATGGTGAAGGAAGAAAAAGAATCAAATCACCATTTGGTTTTTGAAAATTAATTCAATATTAACTAACATTATAAAATTATTTATTTATTTACATAATATTTATTTTTCTTCTTCCTAATTGAGGTATGGTTCTTATGGAGCTATGTTGCTTAGACAAATAAACATGGGAAAAAAAATAGAATTGGGAATTGCGGAGAAACTAGAAATTACAGTAGAACCTCGATAAATTAATAACATCATTTAAATAATAATTATCTCGGTCTCAATTCGATGAAAATACATTAAATTATTAGTTCAATAATTTAATATTTCACTAAATTAATAGAATTTTACTAGTCGTGACTGTATTAATTTATAGAGATGTAATTCTTAGAAAGTAAAAACATAAAGTTGAACATGTTATAATAAAATAAAAATATAGATACTGTTTTATAAATTACAAATTAATCAAAAAATCTTACTATCAACTATTAATGTACAGTTAATCATCGAATTATTAAAGAATTAAGAAGATAACAAAAATATTTATAAATTTGCCACGGAGACCCGTTTTTAGTGACAGGATAATGAGTTTAAATGCACATAGTTAAACAAAAGCATTTTTCAAATAAAATCATACTCATGTCTTTTGTCTAAGATAGCCTGTATAATATAATTTTTATCAATTTCATCTATTATAATCTAATTTTCTTAATATTACACAATAACCTTGAATTTGAACAAATATATCACATTAACCCCTATTTTATAAATTTTCAAAAAAATATTTTTTTTTAGAAAATAATTTTTTTTGAATTAATTTTATTTTATAACCAGATTCCGGCGTTGAGTTTTTAATTTTTTGAAAAAAAAAATTTGAATTTATTTCTGTCCAGTCAACCGTTGCTGACCGCCGGTCTCCGACGTTGATTTTTTTAAACTTTATTTTCCTATCTAAATTACTGTGTAAACAACAAAATTATTGCCTGAGATAGTAATATTAAACATCAAAACAATAATATTACTAATATTACTGTCCAAAAAAATGATATTACTAATATTACTGTCACAAACAATAATAATACTGTCCCGAATATTAATATTATGAATATTACTTTTCCGAACACTAATATTACTATCCCAAAGTGTAATATTATTGCATAACACAGTAATATTACGGTCGGAGACAGTAATATTACGGTCGGAGAAAGTAATAGTACGGTCGAAGACAGTAAAATTGCAGGTCAAGACGATAAAATTAATTAATATAGTAAAATTACTGTCTCAGACAGTTACAGTAGTTTTAGCAGCCAAGACAACAATATTAATTAAAATATTTTTTTTAAGAAAAAACAAATATTCAAGAAAAAAAAAAAAAAAGTTAACGCCGGTCTTACAAAATTATGGCGTGAATTTATAATTTTCTAATTTTATGTTTTAAAGGGTATTTGGATCTTTTCAATAAAAAAATTATACCCCATGTCGCGAAATCCGTCATAGGAGTCTTATTGATTTTGACTATTTTCTATAGGAGGGATTTTCCTAATATTTTTAACACGATGACTTTTTCAGCAATTAGAGATTATACAGGAGTAACTAGGATATACTAATTAAATAAGTAGGAGCTAGTCTTGTGTATGCTAATTAGTTTCTCTTGTATCTGCTGCAGTTGTCAGAAATGTATGCTGAAGAGATTGAGGTGCTGAATGAAGAAGCAAGAAATATGATAATAATATTAGACGACAACATGAAATTGACGGAGAAATTTGTTTTGATTGATGCATTCGAACGCCTAGGCTTTTCAAATCACTTTCAAGATGAAATCCAACTCACATTAGCATTCAACGGCCATTTCAAAAAGAGAACGATGATTTGTCACCGTCGCATTGCAGTTCCAATTGTTGAGGCAATATTCCTTCGATGCCCCTTCTTGTACGTGCTTCGATCTCCCATTCATATACATATATACGCACTAATACATTGACGTTTATCTTACAACTGCATGTCTTTTACGTACTCAATTTCGAATCTATATGTATGTATGTGTAAGTATGCCAGCCATTTTTACAAGATTAGTGGCAGGGTATTCCAAGAGTTGAATCGCGTCGTTTCATCTCACTCTACGAACAACAAGGGCTGGTTTTCGGCCCGGTCCGGGTTTGGGTTCGTCAACGGGCCGGTTCCGGGCCAAAAACCGGCCCATGGCCAAGGAATGCAACGACTGAATTATTCGATTGGCTTTTGGAAAAACCTAAAATTCTCCAAGCTAATAACATAGTAACTCGTATCCTTGATGACATTGGCACGTACGAGGTATACTGATATGCCTAATTGGGCCAACCCAATGGGCCTACAAATTATTTACCTACTGGACCACAAGCCCAATATTGAAGACCACTATCACCGAGGTCGGCCCAATCACCTTCAAGTAAGGTTTGGACCCGAAAATCTCAACTAAGCAATAAATAAATGTTTGAATTCATTCTTTAAGGTACGTTCTATTATTCACCAACTATCTACAGTTTTATTCTCTCTACTATCTATACGATCCGTACATCTGACTTGAGCGTCGGAGGGGTTTCCGCCGGATCAACCCCCGGCTTCGTTCACGTATGCTCATTTCGCAGGGACCTCACACTATGTCAAAACACATTTCAGGCGACGTTTTTTGGCGACGTAAATACCCCGTTTGCGACAAAATTTGTAATTTTGCGACGAAATTTGCAAGTTATCAAGCTACTGATCAGCTTTGCTCTCCCAACTCGTTTTTTACACTACCCTAGGTGATCTAAGTAATTAGCATCAACATTTTGGCGCCGTCTGTGGGAACGATGCAAAACAGATCACGTAGCCAACAAGATCCTCCTGAGGCGTCTGCTCGGAGAGAAAATGACACAGCTAACAACCTCCCAGTCCGTGGAGGCTCTGGCTTGCCACCTCCTCCACGTCCCACGGATCTACCTCGCGAGGTTCAGGTGATCCCCACCACTCGCCGATTCACCACTCCATGCTCCCCAAACGGTTCAAATAACCGAGGATGCGCTCCAGCACATGATAGCAAAAGCCTCAACTCGCGCCGCCACAGAGGTCGTGACCCAATACATCGCCACGATGGGAGCAAATGCTCCCAACGCGATACCAGCACCTGTTCCACCTGTGGAGCCACCTATGGCACCACCACCAGTCCAGAACCAAATAAGTGTCTTCTCCCCTACCTCGGACCCACGGTCCCGAATGCAACAATCTACTCATCGCCAAGATGCACGAACTGGGCGACGAAACCCACGTTTACCTTCAAGAGGCAACACCTCTCACCAACGAGCTCCTCAGCACAATGGTGGAGAGGTTGAAATTAGCAGTCAGGTATCTCGCTCAAATCACCTTCCCCACATAGGTAATCCCATTGGTGGAAGGGCAATACGTCCAATAAGGCACAATCCCTTCATTGTCGCAATTATCAATGAGATACTACCCCAACGGGTAAGGTCTCGAGTCTACCGCAATTTGATGGAACTGGTGACCCACAGGAGCACCTTGAAAAGTTCTAAGCCATGGCAGATCTATATGGCCTAACTGATGCGGCAATGTGCAAGATGTTTCGCACAACGCTCTCCGAACGAGCATTGAGCTGGTTCAACTCCTTGCCCACTGGATCAATTGAAGCTCTTTCCCAACTAACATATCGTTTCACCCACCATTTCGCTATCAACAAAGAGTACGCAAAGACACCCGCGTACCTTTTCACTATCACCCAGAGAGAGGGCGAGACCCTCCGCAACTACATTCAACGATTTGTAGAGGCATCTCACAAAGTTCCTAACGTGGGAGGAAGCATGCTCGCTGGAATCATTCAACAAAACTTGAAGGAAGGTAGATTCAAGGAATCTATTGCAGGAAGACCTCCAACCACTGTGGAAGAGTTACTAAGTCGCGCTGAGAAACACGTGCGCATCGAAGAGGCTTCGGTCCTCCCTCCTCCCAAGAGGAAAATAGATGAAGATTACTTCAATACCCGGCGACGAGATGGCCGACGACAATCGTCAACATCTCATTGATAATCTCCTTATACGTCCTTGTACTTCCAATGAAGTCAATGACACTTGGAGTCTATCGAGCCCATAACATTGTTCGTGATCACATCATCCTAAACTGGGGGGCTATCATACCTTAAGGATGATACATCCCCTCACCCCCGACATCAATTAAACGAAACACCTACATCATCTACTTAGTACAAGTTTATTTATTTCGAGCGATTCTCTCCCTACTTGTTTATTTACCTTCGCCTCAAGTAGGCTCGTAAACTTCACCTACAATACGCTAACAAGCGACTACTACAATTTCTACTCTCAACACGATCTGGAATCCATTCCGACATGGTCCCCACATCGACTCAAGAGTGGGGGGCTTAATGATATGCCTAATTGGGCCAACCCAATGGGCCTACAAATTATTTACCTAATGGGCCACAAGCCCAATATTGAAGACCACTATCATCGAGGCCCAATCACCTTCAAGTAAGGGTTGGGCCCGAAAATCTCAACTAAGCTATAAATAAAGGTTTGAATTCATTCCTTAAGGTACGTTCTATTATTCACCAACTATCTAGAGTTTTATTCTCTCTACTATCTCTACGATCCGTACATCTGACTTGAGCGTCGGAGGGGTTTCCGCCGGATCAACCCCGGCTTAGTTCACGTGTGCTCATTTCGCAGGGACCTTAGGATCATCAAGTTATCAAGCTACTGATCAGCTTTGCTCTCCCAGCTCGTTTTCTACACTACCCTAGGTGATCTAAGTAATTAGCATCATCATATACTTTACAACAATCTTTACGTACTGATCATTCTTGTTTATATACATTACACGGCGATAATATTATGTAGCACGGAAACTTCAACTTCTTAAAGTTTCCGCGTTTCGGGCACGTTTTTTGTCGGACACTCAAGGACACCTGCCGGAAACTTAATGGACCATATTGCAATTTCTAAAAAGTTAGAAATATGTTTGAATAATAAATTTTCAAATATTTTTGTTGCTTCCCTAATTATTTACATGATTTAATGATCTATTGCAAATTGATAGTTGATAGTAAATTTATTTTGAATATGTTTCTATGAAAATATATAAAAACAATTTATGCATAAATAAAAACTTATATATGTTTATATAGCATATTTATAAATTACCCCTATAATTTTAATATTTACACGTTTCTGCTCCCGTATCCCCATTTTTTGAATCTTTCGTATCCCCTCATTCCCGTGTCCGTGCTGCATAAATGTTATATATATCCATGACAATATAGTTATCATCTTTTCTTTAAATAGCTTTATGATTTTTTTTTGTATTTTTTTTTATTTTATAATTTGTATATCGGTAAGGGCAAGAAGAAGAGAGTACAAGTTATAAGTGGGATTGATAGCTACATAAAGGAGAATGGTGTGTCCAAAGAAGTAGTAGTAGGACACTTGAAAGAAATTATTGGGAATGGATGGAAATAATTGAATCAAGGGCTTATGTGTAATTCGTTCCCTTTCGAGATTCTCGTTCGATTTTTCAACTTTTCAAGGTTGGCGAATGTCACGTATAAAGAACAACCAAGATGGATACACATACACTTATCCGGAGAAAGGGCTCAAGCCTCATATTGTAGCCTTACTCGTTGATTCTTTTGAAATCTAGACTGATTTTGCACCATTAATCTCTTATATTATATTTTTCCCTTTTTGTAGTGACAATATCGCAAGTCGAAGTATTTTATCATGTTGTTTTTCGTCCAGGATTTTATGAATGTTAAGTTTATGTGTGTGAATTGATCATTATTATCGGTCTATGGACCCAGCGCCTATCGTGCCGAACAAAATTGCAATAAGAGAAACCCTATCGTATCTAATTATCTTATGTGTGAACTGATTATTACCCTACCATACTGATATATTAATAAATAAATACTACATTTTTATTAGGGATAATTAGCAAGACCCCCCTCATCTAGGAAATGTAGTTAAGAAAACACCTCATCCTAAAAATAATTAGAGAAAACCCCCTAGTCAATATTCCACCCAAATACTATTTTCATAATTTCAAAACTACCCTTAATTGTTCAATATACTCTCTCAAAACCCTATCTCATTTTTCATTTACCATTTTCCTTTCTCGTTTTTCGTTTCTATCTTTTTCTCTATTCTCTGTTCTTTCTTCTTTGTTTTTTTTTTTTTTGCTTTCTCCGGCAAATCTTCTCCTCACCGCCGTCGTCGCAAGATGAAGAAATGCATAGAGTCTAACCGCGGCGCCTATCAAAAGAAAACATCGTATCGAACTCTAATTTGATAGCGATTCTGAGTTCGAATGCCACGATTGCTACATTGACGGCGAAAAGAGGTAAAATTGTCGATTGGAATCGGATTTTGATGGGTGGTGGTTCTACTTTGGTTGGTGGCTTTGTTTTGGTGATTTTGACCGTAATACATGGTTATGTTTTGATTGTTTGGATAAAAAACAGTTGAATATGGAAGCGGGGTGGTGATGCTGTGGTGTGGCGACGATGTGGTGACGATGAAGAACAAATCTAGGGTTTTTTGGTGGATTGTGGCGGAAGACGTCGCAGAAAAAAAATTTCGCGCAGGCAGGGCCCTTAATCGACTACGTGGTTTAATCGACTATGTTCAATAGTCGATTAAGGCTTAATCAACTATGTTCAGTAGTCGATTAAGGTTAACCGACTCTAGTTGTTATATTTTTTTTTTGTTTATTGATTCCAATGTATAAATCAATTACAATGTTTGTATTTTTTTTTAAATATAATTGATTTTGTATTTTTTTTGTAATTGTAATTTGTTATTTTTAATAGTTAAATTTTTAATCGACTATCCATTAATAAATCTGATAGAGAAAAAAATTAAAAAAATAAAAAAAAATTTTAAAAACAGAATTAGAAACAAAAAAAAAAAGTTAAAAAATAAAGAATTTCCTTAATCGACTATGAAACACAGTCGATTTAAGACTAATCGATTATGATTCATAGTCGATTAAAAAAACGGAAGAAAAAAAATGCGGAGCGCGTGACCTAGTGATGAGGTGGCGGGCGGGATAAAGCTGGAAAGCATAATAGCTGAAATTGAAATTGGGCTTTTCTCAAATGGTCTAAAATATTTTGGGCCTATCCCCATTAAAAAAAGTAATGGGGTTATGTCAAAGAGCCCCTTTTTATTAAGAATATAATTTTAATTACATTTTTATTACAAAGAAATAATTTGATTTATTTATTGAACTGCATCTCTTCATAGATCACTTAGACCTCATTTTATTGGGAAAATAAGCCATATTTAATTAAATAATTAAGCTTTATTTGATTTGAGTTATGTAATTTAATTATCACAAAATTGTAAAATCTCTCCCTCTTTATTTGGGCTTATGTGCTCATAGTGCAACCGGGAATTACTGAAATACCCTTTTCAACCAAATTAGGTCAACAAGCCTCCAGCCCTAATTTTGGTCTATAAATATTCACCCAACACACTCGCCCACCTCACTCAACGCAACAGAGATCCGACTGTATACACATTTCTTCACCCAATTCTTTACGGAATTTCTTCACCCACTGTTTCCCGGCAGAAAGGTATCATTTTCTGTGTAAAAAATGCTGTTTCTAGCGTTTAATTGATGTTAATCTTTGTTTATTGTGCTTTAACTTCTGGTTTTGTTTCTCTAATTTTATGTTTGTTCTATTGATTTTTCATCGATTGACATTTTGGCGGTTTTTTGCATTTTTTTCCTTTCAGGGAAGCTCGAAATCAATGGCGGTTCCGTATAGCAACTGCTTTCAAATTCCAAAAATTAATTCAAAATCTCTTCTTTTTAGCTCTTCGAATGGGATCTGCACCCGGGCTTCTTCTGTAAAAGCACTGCATTTAGATGCCAAGGTAATTTAGCTGTATTTTTTGATTTAATCTAAATCTGGTTGCTTTATTACTATTAGATATAAACAATGTAAATTAATCTTGCTAGGGTTTAATTTTTGTATCTTATCTTAATCATTGTAAGATTATATATTGCATTGAGAACACTTGTTATCATCATTTTCTTACATCTCGGATTCATTTTCAAGAATGTCGATTTCCTCGGTTTTCGTTTCGGTTCCATATGCTAAAGATGGTTAATTATTATTATATATACCAGATGTTAGTCAGGTGTTCATCAGTTCCTTATGGTGAAATACTGTTACATACCTGGGAGATAAAAGATAGGGAAGGGATACGACGGATGGGTTTCTCATCCGTTGTTTTACTTTCCCTTGTAGGTGTTCATCGTTGCTCGATAGTTTTTATCTTAGTGATTATCCGAGCTTCATCTGGACTCCATATCTTTAAATGTTTAATCACTAATTGAATTTGTATACTTACCGTTTCATTTTCTTGATGAATTTCACTCATTTAGAAGCTTACTGATTTACGAGTTTATACAATTTCTTCGATTTTACCAGACATTGGCAGGTGTCTTGTGCTGTTTTTGTAGCGTGGACCGTTGAATGTTGTGGTATAGAAAACGAGCGTTCATCGTTGTTTGTTGATCAAACTCCAATGATCTGATGAGCTACATCTGAACGCCATATTTTTTAACAAAATTAAATTATTCGTATACTTTTTCGATAATTTCATCAGACATTAGGCAGGTGTCTTATGCTGTCGTCGTAGCATAGACCGTTGAATGTCTGATAAATTAAACTAAGTGTTCATCGTTGTTTGATAATCAAACTTCAATGATTAGTCGAGCTACATCTGAACACAATATTTTAATATGATAAATTATTCTTTCTACTTTTTAGAATTTTTTGTCTGAGTATAATTTCATCAGACATTAGGCAGGTGTCTTATGCTGTTGTTGTAGCATAGACCGTTGAATGCTCTGGTATAGGAAAAGTTAGTCTTCATCGTTGCTTGATAATCAAACACCAATGATTATACGAGCTACATCTGAACACAACATATTAAAACGTAACCCTTTCTTGATAATTTAATATATATATTTATTTATTATTTGTTCATCTTTAATTTTCGTCTAACTAGATTAATATAGGTCGATCCCTTGTTGGATAGTGTGAAGTGGGATGACAAAGGCTTGGCAGTTGCAATAGCTCAAAACGTCAATACGGGCGCTATTTTAATGCAAGGTTTTGTCAACAGGGAAGCCCTTTCAAAGACAATTTCGTCAAGAAAGGCGACCTTCTATAGCAGGTCAAGGTCAACTTTGTGGACAAAGGGAGAAACCTCGATGAATTTTATCAATGTTTGCGATGTCTTTATAGACTGCGATCGTGATTCTGTAAGTTACATTACATTATCGTGTGGGCTCTCTTGTGTTGTGATAATCGTATTATTGAAATAATAGTTTTGATTATCTAACAGATAATATATCTGGGGAAGCCCGATGGACCGACTTGTCACACCGGAGCCGAGACTTGCTATTTTACTTCCGTTACCGAAGACGTAAATGAGTCTGAGGTAACGAAATATTTTCTCGAACGTTTTTGTTTTACTATTGATTATAAATTGGTTAAAATTGGGATTTACGTATAAAATTTATGTAGGTTGATGGAAATAAAGTAGCGCTGACAACTTTATACTCGTTAGAATCAACTATAACAAAACGAAAAGAAGAATCGTCAGAAAGTTCAGGCAAACCGTCGTGGACCAAGCGATTGTTGCTCGATGAAAAGCTGCTGTGCTCGAAAATCAGGTGTGTGTTTTAGTTTACGGGTTTTTTCTTTTGATATGTATTTTAAAGATCATATAAAATTAGGGTGTAAAGTATATTCTTTAAAACATTTTTGTAGGGAAGAAGCCGATGAATTGTGCAGAACATTGGAGGAAAATGAGGATACGTCTAGAACTGCATCGGAAATGGCGGATGTGCTTTATCATTCGATGGTTTTGTTATCTCGTAAAGGAGTGAAAATTGAAGATGTTCTTGAAGTTTTGAGACTTAGGTTTTCGCAATCGGGTCTTGAAGAAAAGAAAGCTCGACGACAATCATAATGAATTGACAGACTGTACATTTTGCAAATTCGGCTTATAGTGTATTGTTCATGTTGATGCAATTTCGAGTTATTGTACTGCACGAAGTGTGTATGCGTTGGCTCGGATTTTTTTGTCTGTTTAGATGAGAAATTGGTTGTAAAATAAAATAAAGTTTTGTTGTTTGTATTGCAAATTCGAATTTTGATTCTTCAAAGATTAATTCAAGATTAATTTTCTGTGTTGGTGATAGTGATAAAAGTTTAAGAGATGTATTTATCATTAAGCAACTAGCTAAAAAATAAATCATTCTCAACTTATGAAATGTTAACTAAAGTCCTAATTTGGATAGTTTGTGAAGATAATCTATGGATCTGCTCAAAAAAAAAAAAAGAAAAAAAAATCTGTGGGTTGGTGATATTGAAATAGTTATTGATATAGAGTTATATTTTGTTTAATTAATATATTGAAATACTTTGTTTAATTAATATATTTAATTTATAGAGGGTTAGCTACAGAATCTATGGATCTGCTAAAAAAAAACAGAGAATCTATGGGTTGGTGATATTGAAATAGTTATTTATATAGAGTAGATAGTTGGATAATTTAATATTTTATTTAATTAATAGATTTTTCACTGTATAATTTTTAATTCGAAAAATATAAGGGCAGCTAGAAAATTAGTGAAATAATTATATTTTACTAAAATGGTAATTAAAATTTATTAAGTTTGCAAAAGAATTGACAAGATCAAGAACCAGTAGCTAGTGTCTTGAAAAGGTAGTTGAACCGGTCGATTGGTCCATTGGTTCGGCTAGCCCTTCAAAGTTCATTTGGCCGGTCAAATGGATCCAGATTGGCTGTAGTGCCTTGACTTTATATTAGAATAGTCTATTTTTTTTTTATTTTTTTTTGAGAATAGTCTATGTATTTTTCATCCAGTGGAATTTGATAGAAATCCAACTTAACCACAAATTAAGACCTTATTCGGTTGTCAAGATAAAATTAAATAATTTAATGAAAACTCAGTTATTTTATCGAACTCTAGGATGTTCAATAAAACAATTCTCATAATTAAAATAAATTATAATAACATAATATTTGCGAGTCGATCCTGTAAGCTACTGAGAATACAAATCATTAAAACAAAGTTAATTGTTTAATTAATAATGATTAATCCCCAATCAAACGAGGCGTAAGGGAGCAATAATAATCTTTTCTTACTTCCACTCCCATGTGAGCTTTTCTTTTTGGGGGTAAAAAAAAAAAAAAAAACAATTTAAGCAAATTTTAAATTGATTTTGACTCCATCAACTTAATTCTTTAGATTCCATGAATTTTAAGTTGCATGGAATTTGACTTCATCTAAATGACACCATGAACCCTTCCCTTTTTTATTGGGTTAAAGTACAATCACTTATGAGGTACTGTTAAATTATGAAAAAACTCATTATATTTGGATAATTATAACTATCCTTCAAATATAAATTTTCTTATACGTTCACTTTTATGAGGTCAAATTCAACACAATCTTCTAAATTTCGAGGAATATTCTCTAGTTTGTACGCGTTTTGTGCAAAAATGTAGTTTCTGATGCACCACAATCTGATATATAAATAAGCCAAAAAACACATCTTATAATCATCTTACTTCAAAATGTGGAGCTCAAATGAGATAAAATGGGTGCGAAATTGAGAATATTCCATATAACCTAGAAGATTCCACTAAATTTGACAACACAAAAGATGGACCTGTAAGAAAAATTATAGTTGATGGGTGGTTGTAATTATACAAAGATGAGGGGTTTTTTTCTAATTTGAAAGTACCTTAAGGGGTGGTTGTAATATACCCTTTTATATTTATTTATATAAATGCCCCCCACCCCCACTCACCATTATTTCACCACCACCAAAAAAATTCGAACGTTGGAGAAATTCAAAGAATCCCTGTCCAAAAAAAACAAAACAAAAAAAAAACTCAGAACCCTAACGTTAATAAAAATGTCATCTTGCAAAGTTGCAATATCAAACACATCAGCTTTCTCACCATCTTCGTCGTCTTCTTCCATCTGTTCACCCAACTCTTCTTCCCCTCGGCTCCTTCGTCTCCCCAAATCAAGTGGGCTCGTCAAAACTTTGGCCGGCGGGGAATCTTCCGCGGTCTTGAAGAGGAAGAGGCCGCCGAGATTGGATATTCCGGCGTTCTTTGCGGAGGAGCAGGACGCCGCTGCGGCGGCTGCGGCGGCGGAGGAGGAGGTTGTGGAGGTGGAAGGAGATGGGTTTTCAGTGTGTTGTAAGAAGGGGAAGAGAAATGAGATGGAGGATCGGTACTCTGCTTCTGTGGGGCTTCTAGATGATTCCAACAAGGTATTTTTTTCACTTCTGCTTTATTTAAAGATTCCCATTTTCCAATAATTTTTACTTTGATTTAGAAATTTAGAAACTTCAAATTGAAATGCTAAATCTTGTGTGTGTGTGAAAATTGTGTACTTTTTTTGTTTGGATTCCAGCTGATTTTGGGGAATGTGATAAATAACATGATGTTCGTGTTTGTGTCGTAATATAAAGTAGAACCTCGATAAATTAATAACCTCGATTAAATAATAGTTTCTCTCGGTCCCGACTCGGTGAGAACGTGTTAAATTATTAACTCTATAATTTAATAATTCGCTAAATTAATAGAATTTCCCTAGCCCCGACAATATTAATTTATTGAGGTTTAACTGTATTAGGCGTTGTTTGGTATCTTTGACGGGCACGGAGGTGCGAAAGCTGCTGAGTTTGCAGCCGAGAATTTGGAAAAGAATATCGTAGATGAATTGAACACAAGGGAAGACGATGGCGAAATCGAGCTAGCAGTAAAGGGTGGTTACTTGACCACCGATTCCGAATTTCTCATGAGAGACCTTCGAGGCGGAACGTGCTGCGTGACAGCACTGATAACAAGGGGCAATTTAGTCGTTTCAAATGCCGGCGATTGTCGTGCTGTATTGAGCAGAGGTGGGGCGGCGGAGGCGCTCACTTCCGATCACCGCCCGTCTAGGGAAGACGAGAGGGAAAGAATCGAGAATTTGGTAAGAAAATCACATTCTTGAATTTTCAGGATTTTCAAAATACTCGGGTTTCTGTTTGAACTGAGTTTCGATTTATTACGGTGGATTTGAAATTCAATTTATATGAAGTGATGTGGAATTCGTCTCTCAAATCCACTCGTAAAATTTAAATCTTTAAATCCAAATTCAGCCCAATAGGGCCTTTGTTTTTTTGGTGGTTGTATTTGGATGGAAAGATTTAGAGCGAATCGTTTTAAATTAATATAATAACATATCGATTGAGTTTGTCTGAATAAATTCATTATATTTTGTAGGGTGGTTTCGTAGAATGTCGAAACGGAGTTTGGAGAGTACTAGGATCTTTAGCTGTGTCGAGAGGTATCGGAGATCAACACCTCAAGCAGTGGATCACAGCAGAACCCGAGACTAAAATCGTTAAACTCGAACACGAACACGAGTTTCTTCTCCTCGCTTCTGATGGATTATGGGATAAGGTAGTCATTCATACGTTACTTACATAGTCTGAAATTTCGATACTGAAAAAGAAAAAAAAAAAAAAAAAAAAAGAAACTCAATTTCTTGATCATGATTTTGCAGGTTAGTAATCAAGAAGCGGTAGATATCGCGCGTCGTTTGTGTGTAAATGTGGATAAGCCTCAGCCGCTATCGGCCTGTAGAAAGCTCGTCGATCTCTCGGTTTCCAAAGGCTCTAATGATGACATAAGTGTTATGCTCATTCAACTGGGAAGATTTTGTTGATGATCAGTTGGGATTGGAAAAACAAAAATCTAATTAGTTGACATCTCGATTTTCGATTTTCGTAACTGTTACATAGTCTTGCTTTCCGTTTTACCTTATGAACATTTGATTATCTGATTCAGAAATTAATCAGTCTTACGAAATAATGAAAACCCCATATTTCGTTTACAGTAAGTATACCAAGCGCAGAAGTGCCTTTTTTTACGTTTTCGATTCATTTTTATTATTAGATCTTATCAAGGGGTTCACTGCATACGGCACCGTTGTTTACCGTAATCGCTAAAGAAACTCCGTCGTATAATTTTTATTAGCAAAAACCACTGTGACTGAAAAATCAAAAGCAATCACACCCCTATAAAACTCATTAATTAGAGGGTGTATACTTAAAAAAAACAACACAAGGGGTGTCTTACAATTAACTCTATAATAAAGTCAAAAGGAATATCAAAATCTGCAATAATTTATGTTATACACCATAAGCAGAAAAAGTCAAATAATCTACAATAGACTTAGTCTGGGAATAAATAAAAAAAACATTGACATTTTCACGTCTTCAAAAAGAAAAGACCAATTCCACAAACGAATACAGACGTAATCTGCGCCTGCTGGTAGATGCAGCAGAAAAAACAATTGCACTAACCAGTATTCTCCGTTAAAACAGAGCACATTAAAACAAAGACTAACAGATTTTTTATAGAGGACAAACATATAACGACATTGATTAGAAAATGCATGCCTAAAGCATATTCTCAAGCATCGGCAGCTTTCTCTTCATGCCCGTTTGATTTCAAACGCTTTGCCTCGTAATCTTTTACAGCTGCCTTAATTGCATCCTCTGCTAGCATGCTGCAATGTAGTTTCACTGGTGGAAGAGATAGATGTTTTGCAATTTCCCTGCAATTTCATTAATAGATACACTCAGAAATATATAGATATTGTTCGGAATTACTACAAAAAAGTTATTTCTAGCTTCAATCAAATTCCACTTCAGCACTTTTGACATATTCTGTAACAGTGATCTTGCTTTAGACGCAGTTATAGCCAAGGTTGAAAACATCAATACAGAAAACAAAAAATAAATTCCATGGGAAAACGGGGAGAGTGATACAGAACAGGGCGATGCTATTTTTATTTAATCTTTTTATTAGTCTTGGAAGAAAAAGCAGTAAGTTCAAAATTTAACCATACGAGTTCAATCAGGTCGATATTAACTTACGTATTCTTGATAGACAGGACTTCCTCCATTTGTTTACCTTTCACCCATTCAGTTGCTGAAAAATGGAAAAAAAAAGAATGCTTTAGCCGGAAAATTTTGGCAACGAAACATGCCAACACAGTACGAGAATAACATAATCACGACTCGGGAGATCTCGGTGCAAAAGGAATTAATGCCTCTTAAACATGATGCACGAAGAGAGTATCGAGTTGTAAATGATCAAGATAAGATTTGCAGCTGTGCAATATCATCTTCCGAAGATCAATTACAATTCAATATTATACCAACTCATATGGAATGATCACACTTACGAAAGCATCAGAGACAACAAATAGTAAACTCATTCGAACCTTACACAAAACACAAAACCAGCGAAATCTAGTTAGAAGCATCGTTTTCTAAAACGACATAAAATCGATAAATCAAGACAACATCCAACAACGTAGCACCTTACATAATGCTGTTAACTAGGTATTTTATGACGAACAAGGATCCTTAATCACTGCATACATCTATTGCCAGCAGAGAGAAAGCACACAAGTATCGTCATTTAGATCAGAATCATTCAGCCATACATTTAATGTATATAAATTCAGGGAATAGAAAAGAAAACGAAAAATCTACACCTCAACATCACAACTAAACTCAACCATTCAAATTAGAAAAATCCGATTCTGCGTAGAAACTTCCCATATGCATAAGAAGCAGCAACTTAAATACGAGTAATAAATCAACAACAAAAAAAAAGTCAACATTAATTTTCGAAAATACTAACTTGGAGCTCATTAAGACTTGCAAACTATATCCAACCAAAAACAATTCTCATAAAATAAACTCCAAAAATGGAAATTCCATTTTTGTAGTACCAAAACTTCAAATTCAGAAAGACTTGCACCAAAAAAAAAAAAAAATATAATACAGCAAAATATTGAAACCCACTGATGCTATAAACTATATATAGAAGAAACAATACCGACGGAGGAGGAGGCGATGGCGGAGCCGCAGCCGAAGGTCTTAAAACAAGCATCAACAATTTTGCCGCTCTTCTCATCAACCCTAATCTGCAATTTCATGACGTCACCGCACGCCGGTGCTCCAACAAGACCCGTGCCGACGTTGCTATCGTTCTTGTCGAACGATCCGACGTTCCTCGGGTTGTTGTAGTGGTCCACCACTCTCTCGTGGTACATCCGCCGCAGGGAAGCACCGCCGACGGCGGCGGAGGATCGCAGGTGTTGACCGATAACCGTATTAGTCAGGTGCTTCAACATTTTTTTTATTGATTTTGAGAAGAAATCAGACTGAATTTGGTTTCTGTTTTTTTAGGGCTTTAGAAATTAGGGAAAGAAGGAAAGAATTGGATCTTTGCTTGTTAAAGCTTATCTGCGGATGACGCGATGATAGAGTTACGCGGCTGTGAGTTGATTTGGTGAATGGAGGACTGTGATTGGCCTGTAGTCTATACAATGTGGGGTGCTCACGGTAAAAGGTTAGGGCAAATTACAATATCCCTCGATGTATGCTCAAATTACTAAAAAACCCATCTTATTTGCATAATTACAACAATCCCTCAAACTTTGTATTGTGTTATACCTCCACCTTCTTCATGTCAAATTTACCTAGGGCGTTCATCTGGTCGGTAAATCGATTGAATCGAAACGAACGAAAATTTGTACATGTGGATTACTACAACGTTAATTCGGTGTGATATTTAGTGTTTTTTTATATAATTATTATGATTAGTATTATTTAATTTATATATACATATATATAACCAAGCGTTGGAGTATTGAAATTTTAAATAATGAACGCACCTAAAATTTACCAACCGGTAAAAAAAAATAAAAAAAATTACCTAGCTGGATAGATTTTTTCATAAGATAAGGGGTACCTGTGGAATTATGCAAAGATGAGAGGATTTTTCTCGTAATATACCTCACGTCAAAGGAGGATTGTAATTTGCCAAAAGGTTAAAATGGACATTTCTCTAATTTTTAAGTGACCAAAGATAACTTTTGACCCTAAAAAGTCACATATGTTCCTCAGTTCCTGTCATCTTGCTGCCCTTTTCCTCAGTCGTCGCTCAACCTTCTGCTCATTCCCTCCGCCTCCGTCGACGGCGGCGCTGAAGATCATCAGGCGAGCGGCGTGTGGATTTGTCAGCCATAAAATCGCACTTTTGAAGCTTCCCTAACTCCCCATCGAAGGTTACGCCTACACTCTTTTTTCCTGGAAATTTTGATTCTTCTATTTCATGTCGAATTGAAGACTGTTTTTGTTAAATTTTAATTCGAACATCACTAAATTGCATCAATGTACCAAAATCCCTTTAATTCAGGCGAGAAATACAGTCAATTTTTTTTATTTTATTTTGCTCTCTGTAAATAAATTGTGTAGGTTTATAGCATTTTGCTGAATGGCCTGAATTTCATGTACCGATGTCGTTTTTTCCAGATTTCTGTGGTTCTGATGCATAGCTTGTTCGAAGTTGTTATTTTTGTTACGATTTAGGAGCTTTTTAGTTCATTAATTTTCTTGGATACTTAACAAATTCAAGAAATAATGAATTTGAACTAGAGTTCCGTTCTCGTAAAAACAAAATTCATTAATTTCGTGCAGGAGAGAACTTCAGCGTTGACCTTTTCATTTCTTTTCACAGATAGGAATGGATGAAGAGTGTGTTGCGGAGAACGTGACTCGGAAGATAGAGAAGAGGGCTAAGAAAAAGTCTAATAAATGCAAAAGAAGTGAAGAGAATACGATAGGTATGCAGGAGGGTCGGGGTATTGTTACGGTGAAGGCGATTGAGCATGTTCAAATATCTGAGAAAGAAGATGTAACTGAAATGGAGAGAGTTCGCAAAAGGGACAAAGAAAAGAAGAAAAATAAGGAGATTGAGATTAAGAAGGGTGCAGGAGAAAGTGAACAAACGGCTGCATATGGTGAGGAGAGTAGCGGAGATGCAGTAGATAATGCTGTAAAGAAAAGAAAGAAAAGGGAGAAGGACAAGAATCGGAATGGCATGTTTGAGACGGGCATTAATAAAGAAGTTGAGGGGAAGGAGAGTAAAAGATGGTCGGAGGGAGAAAGTGTTTCTGGAACGACGTGCAGCAAAGAGAGGAAAACGAAGAAACCGAAAAGAAACCACGACAATGGAGATTCCGAGAAGGAGAAAGAAGATGGAAACGAGGTTGGGACCCGTAAACAAAACAGCAAAATTCCCGTTGAAAGGAAGAAACGCAAAAAAGAGAAGATAGTGAGTGAGGATGATAATTGTTGGCAAGAATCTTCTGATAAAGCTAAGCATGTTGAGGGTGATTTATCTTCGATGCAAAAGGAAAATGTTCCAGGTAATGTTGAGTCCGTTAGCTATGTCGGTAATGCCACGAAGGAACTCAAAAGAAAGAAGAAGAAGAAGAAGAAGAGCAAAGAGAGAGAAAGTTTTAACGCTGATTCTGTAGATAAACATACCATTAATGACGATACACAAATCGATGGAGTAGAATACGGCAACAAAAGGAAGAAGAAGAAAAAGGCTGAATTAGTTGAAAACAGTTCCGATGACGCACGAGATACTCAAGTTGAGTATGCAAGCAAAGGGAAAAAGAGAAAGACAAAAACAGTGGAAAATGATTCAGACGATCGTATATCTGATACAAATGATGAAAATCGGAATGTCAAGCAAGATGATCTAGTAAGAGGTAAGAGATTCACTCTCGACGAAGACAACATCGTGAAAGAGTCTGTTTATAAGTATATCCACGAACGCCAATTAGGCGATGAAGGTCTGAACATGGTTTTGAACTGTAAGAAGCACCCTGAGATAAAAGGCTGCTGGAGAGAAATAGCGTCCGCTATACCGTACAGACCGTATCTCTCCATCTATTTCCGCGCGCAAGTTCTACTGCGGAGGTCCGTGTTTCGAAAATGGACCCCGGAAGAGTACGAAAAGATTCTCAACTACCACGAGAATCACGACAATGAGTGGAAGGCGTTGGCCGACGAATTGGGGGAGCATCAGAAACACGTGAGGAACACTTGGTGCAGAATCAAAATGCGCGACATGAACAGAGGGCGTTGGTCGCAAGAAGAGTACCAGAAATTGTTCGATCTGGTCAACGTTGACTTACGGTCGAAGGTCTCTCAAGTGAAGAGATCGCAGCACGGAATGTTCCGTGATAATATTAGCTGGACGATGATTAGCGAGCAGCTGTCGACTCGGCCTCAAGCGAGGTGCTGCTCGAAGTGGTACTCGCAGTTGACTTCGCGTATGGTGGCTGAAGGTGTGTGGGCTGATTCTGATGACTATCGGTTAATCGATGCGCTCTATAGCTTGGATGCGACTTGCGTGGAAGATGTGGATTGGGATAGTCTCGTCGAGGAGAGAAGTGGGATTTTTTGTAGAAAACGGTGGAGTCAAATGGTTATGCATATAGGTCAGAATACGCGTAAATCGTTTTCGGAGCAAGTTGAAATATTGGCGCGGAGATATTGCCCGAGTCTTCTCGAGGCAAGAGAGGCGTGGGATAGCAAACCGTATGTTGATTAGAGAATCGACAAAAATATTTTAAATTTTTGCTTTTCGAACATGTTTCTAACTTTTTAAAAATTGCAAAATGACCTATAAGGTGTCCGAGATGCGGAAACGTGAAGTTTTCGTGCTACATAGCTCTGTAAACAAAAGAATGGCGGAGTATGGGCAAATTTAAATTATTTTCATTACAATCCAACTTGTTAAGAAATTCAAACAAATACATAATATATATATATATATATATATATATATATATATACACTGAACCAGGCCTATACTATCGGATCTAAACATCCGAATCAAAAGAGACATTAAACAAATTGATTATTCCAATACTTTGTGTGACGCAATATACAATAAATAGTCAATAAAAATATGTTTATGATTGTTCTTAAATTCAGTTAACATACCTTTCAATTTTATTCTTTTAACATTTCTTTTTGTTTTTTTGTTTTTAACAATACAATATGAATAATTATTTTAATTTTTAATAGCAGTTGGGCTTTTCAGTTAAAGATTAACCGAAGCCCATCTTAATACACCAATAACCCCCAATTGGCCTATTTTCCTTTTCATCCCACCGCAACCACAATCTCAACCACAAACGCCGCCGCCACCGCCACCGCCACCGCCACCGCCACCGCCACCGCCACCGCCACCGACGCCACCGTTACAGTCCGGCGAGCAACTAAAATTTCTTTCGAAGGTACATTTTCACCCTCTCTTCTCTGTAGGAATCTGTTCTTCCTCTCGCTGACATCACAAATCATTTGTGTTTAACCTAATCTTCGTTCGCGAATTATCCGTAATGTTTTTTTTTTTTTTTTTTGGTGATTTATTTTTTTCTTCGTTTTATGCTTATTGGAGTTTAGGTTTTTTGTGGATTCATCTGTTTCTGTGCTGTTGAATGTGTAGCCCTAGTTGTATGTATAGATGTATATATCTATGTTCGTGCCTTCGTGTATAGCTCTAGGTGGTCTATGATGCTTTCTGGTGTTCTGTTTTTGAGGTTTGTTCAATATTAGAAATTGATTTTATCAGCACATTGGTAATTTAGTCTTTTCTGCTGTGTTATTGCAGGATTTTTTATTAATTATTTTATCAAATTTTGTATGCTTCCCCTGGTACTTAAAAATGCTGGAAAAAAGAAAATTGCGAAGTTTGATTTGTTTTGTTTACTGTATAAAACATTGATTCCTTTTTGAAGTTAGAAGAGACCTTCATCATTTGATTTTCTGATATTTACGTTTGTATAATTGATTTATTTGCTTAATTTTCTCAGCAAAGCATGGGTAAAGAAGGGGCATCGGAAAATGCAACCCCAAAGATAGAGAAGAGGATTAAGACGAAGTCTAAGAAAGTAAAGAAAAATGAAGAGACTACAACAGAGATGCAGGATGCCCAGAGTATCGATACAGAGAAGGCAGTTAAGCATGTTCGAATATCTGAGAAAGAAGATATAGCTGAAACTGAAGTGGAGAGGGTTCATAAAAGGGATAAAAATAAGAAGAAAAATAAGGAGAGTAAAGATATTGAAGCTGACATTAATAAGGATGCGGGAGAAGGTAAATCGACTGTTGCATATGACGAGGGTGGTAGTGGAGATGCAGTCGAAAATGCTGTTAGCAAAAGAAAGAAAAGAGAGAAGAACAAGAATAAGAACGACGGACTTGAGATGGAGAATGGTAGTGAAGCTAAGGGGAACGAGGGTAAAAAACGAGAAAGTACTTCTGGAACAAATAGTACCAAAGAAGCGAGCAAAGAGAGGAAGAAGCAGAAAGGGAAACGGAAGCTTGAAGAAGTAGACTTTGAGAAAGAGGGAGAGAAAGATGTAAAAGAGGCTGGGAGAGATAAACAGAACAAGGAGAAGAAGAGGAAAAAAGATAAGCAAAAGAGCAAGGATGGTGATTTATCTTCGCTGCAGAAGGAAAATGCGCCGGATAATGTTGACGGGGATATTCAGCCAATTAGTGACGCAGAAAATGTCACGAAAGAAGTCAAAAGAAAGGATAAGAAGGAGAATAAAAAGAAGGAAAATTCGAAGGACGACTCATCTGCTGCTTCTCAGCAAAATTCTGTAGATAAAGACGGCACAAAAAAAGATAAATCGAAAGATGGCAAAAAGAGGAAGAAGAAAGGCACCAAATCAGTTGAAAATGTGTCCGACGGTGCTCAAGATAATGGAGTTGATGCAAGCAAAGGTAAGAAAAACAAAAGGAAGAAATCAGCAGAATGTGGTTCAGACAATCCCACACCTAACAAAAGTAATAAAAAAGTGAGGTTTTCCGAAAAAAATGAGGTTTTTACTCTACCGAGTGTTCCCGATACTGGTGAGGGAGATCTCGTGAGAGGCAAGAGGTTCACGCTCGAAGAAGATGAGATGGTCAAACAGTCTGTTTACAACTACATAGAGTACAACGACTTGGGCGATGAAGGTCTCGATATGGTTCTGAACTGCAGCAAGCACCCTAAATTGAAGGGCTGTTGGAAAGAAATAGCTTCCGCCATTCCATACAGACCGACGGAAGCTATCTATTTCCGTGCCCACATCTTATTCCGAAGGTCCGACAATCGGAAATGGACCCAAGAAGAGTTAGACATGGTAATCAAGCACCAAGCGGAGCACGGTAATAAGTGGAAGCCTTTGGCGGATGAGCTCGGAAAGCACAGAGCTCACTTGAAGGACACCTGGCGCAGGTTAAAACTCCAGAACCAGAATAAAGGGCACTGGTCTCAAAAAGAGCACCAGAAATTGTTCGATCTGGTGAACCTTGACTTGCAGTTGAAGGTTAACGAGGAGAAGAAATCGAAACACGGGATGTTGAGGGATAACATCTGTTGGACGGCGGTTAGTGATAACTTGGCGACTCGGCAGTCAGCGGTTTGCTGTCTTAAGTGGTATAGTCAGTTGACTTCGCCTATGGTGGCTCAGGGTATATGGTCCGATACCGACGACTATAGGATGGTTGACGCGCTTTATGGGCTGGATGCGACTTGTAAGGAGGATGTGGATTGGGATAGTCTCGTTGAGGGAAGAAGCGGTGACCTTTGTCTGAAGCGGTGGAATCAAATGACTTTGCATATAGGTGGCTATGCGCGTAAGTCGTTTGCTGAACAGGTTGAAGTTTTAGCAAAGAGATATTGCCCGCATCTTATTGAGGTGAGAGAGGCCTGGGATAACAAACCGAGGGTTCCTTGAAACGGTCAAAACGGTAAATTTTACGGTGTTTTAGTGATTGATTACTTACTACCCATTGTATCGATTTCTTGTTGGCTGTGTTGTGTTGGTTTTTTGATTAGTGTACGTTTTGGTCTATTTGAAAGACAGATACCTTAAATTTTCGTGTGTTTTTTAACGTGTTGTTTTCGATTTGTGTACTAAATTACGCAAGTTTAATGTGCGTCTCTATTTCGTTCTTGTCGGGTGGCGGTTTCTGATTGGTAGTTGATTTATTTATTTATATTTTTGAGTAAAAATGAGAGCATAGAGAGAATAGATGTAGCAGGATTTTTGCAGAATTGATTAATGTATTTAATCCTGAAAATTAACAAATCAATTTCAGCATTAATGTTCACTTTAAATGGCAGTAAACGATTCTTGAAAAAGAGTGATTAATGTATTATTGAATTTCTGAATGACAGATAATATTAAATAAAAAAAATATAAATTTAAATTCAAGTGTTGCAGTTACGAAAATGCAATTACTATTAGTCTGGTCTACCTATGCTTAGGAGGACAATATGAAATTTGAACATGATTATGTTTTCCAATTTGACCATCAAACTGCGTAAATGCTATTTATATAATATACTTAATATCAGTCAAAACAATTTCTCAAATGCTTTTGCTCAAGAAACAATTTAATAGATTGTAAAATAATATTTCTTTTTTGATAAAAAATAAGTAAATAATAATATTTCTTTTTAGTGTTCAGTTATGGTAAAGATTTTTATTAGATTTATTTCAGTCTGCAATTTGCAATGGTCAGTATTGTATTTAAATATTTTTCTTAATAATTACGGAAAACTTAAAAATTGAATTTCGGAATGTGGAATGGAAAAGCTCGTTCCAAAATCAAAATTTATCGGTTCGGAACTGATATAAATCAATAATATCACTTTTCATTCACCTACAATATAGGTGTAATTTTCTTGAAAAAATCAAAATCAATATCGGTTCGAAAATCAAAATCTCATATGTATTCCAATTTCGATCCAATTCTTCTTTTTGTTTGTTTGTTTGTTGGAGAATCTGACACCAAAATTGGAAATTTTCGATTTGGAATTGACGAAATTCGAAAGTTCAATTCCGTTTTTCTTAAAAGTAAAGTTTTAATCAATTTTCAATTTCATACTCTCAACTTTGTTTTTGATGACAATCACATGCTACTCTAACCATTAGATCATCTCATGAATCAACGGCCCATATCAATTCTCATTACATTAAATGGCCTTTTACTTCCTCAATAAATACAAACTTTTAACTGAAAAAAAATGTAATACACTCCGACATAGATTTTGCACCACACCAAACAAACTCTTCCATCTCCACCATCTTCTTCCTTCTCCAATGGAGTCTGCAACAAACTTCACAAATGACCAAAACACCCCTCCACCATTTCCCTTCCCCAACATCAACTTGAAGCTAGAAACACTCGACAACGAATACTTCTCCATAGACAACCTCGTATCACCAAAAAATCACGTCGTCCTTCAAGAATATTTCCAAAACCTCGATCAAACCCCCTTGTCCGTTTCTCCGTTCAATCCGTATAATATCGAAACACAATCCAACGCCTTCGATCCGTTTGATCCCTTTCCACATACGGATTTCGGTCTATACGAGTTCAAGCCCTACGAAGAAAACGGCAGCACTATTATTAGTGCAGCCATGCATGATCTACAAGGTGGTGGATTCTTTAACTTTTCGGACCAGAAAGATTCTTCGGTCGAAATCGAGACATCGTTAAAGTACGACGATGATATGATGTTGCCTTTAAGCTTTTTAATTCCCGATGAGAGCTCTTGTGTGAGTAATGTTGATAATCTTGAAGAAGATGGCCGTAAAAGAAACAAGAATGTAATTAAGAAGTGCGATAGGGCTCGGAAGAAGGCGAAATCGTCGAAGGGGCAGTGGACTAATGAAGAGGACAGGTGAGATTAAAAAAAAAAATGTCGTCTTCGGACTTAGTTTTTTATTCGATGTTTTAGTTATTGATTTGAATGATGTTACGTAGGGGTGGGAATTGGAACATAATTCCCGAGTTCCGCGATTACGATCAAAATATTTCCGATTTTGGAATAATATTTTTTTCATTCCGAATTCCATTTCTTTTGGGATTAGAATAGATGTTAGAATCTGATTTCTAATCTGATTTTAATTCTCGATAATAGTTTTGAAGATTTTGAACTTTTTTTCAAGTGAAAATTACATTTACGATATAAAATTTAGGGAAAATTGCACGTCACCCCCTATAAATTTGTTATTTTCGTACTTTACCCCTCAAAATTGAGAAATGCGAATGCCCCCCATCAAAATGTCATTCTTGTTGCACATTGCCCCGATAGCAAAATTTTGATGGATTATTCACTGGAATTGAGTGTTTTTGTTGCACGTTGCCCGTTTAAATGTTATTTTTTTTGTACCTTGTCCCTTAAAAACATTAGTTTTCTGCACGTTGCCTCTTTAAAATGTTATTTTTGTTGGACAATGCCCAATAAAAATTGGCTTCTAGTGCAAAGTGCAACCAAAATAATATTTTGGATGGGGGATATGCATTTTTTTATTTTTAGGGGGGAAAGTGCGAAAATGAAAAATTTATAGGGAGTGAAGTGCATTTTGTCCTAAATTTTATTATGTATCTTGTATTTATGGATGCCTAAAAAATTGAAAATCCTAAAATCCAATCCAAAAATTTTCGATTATGCAACAAGTTTTTTTGCTCCAATTTCTGAAATTTCGATTTCTAATATTTCCATTTTTTCCAAACGGAATTGATTGTAGATATTAATAATTCCGATTCGATCCGTCTGATATCCACCCCTATTTTTACGATACAATGTGCAGACTATTGATCCATTTGGTGGAGAAACATGGCGTGAGAAAATGGTCGAGTATCGCGCAAATGCTCAAAGGGAGAATCGGCAAGCAATGCAGAGAGAGATGGCATAATCATCTCAGGCCTGATATCAAAGTTTGTTTAATTAATTTAATTTTATCAATCCTCCTTAATTACTCAATCATATATATATAGCTTTCTCTTAATTAATTAATTTATTTTTATTTTTCGTTCAGAAGGATATATGGACCGAAGAGGAAGACAGAGTTCTAATCGAGACGCATGCAAAAGTTGGTAACAAATGGGCAGAAATCGCGAAAAGTTTACCCGGAAGGACGGAGAATTCGATCAAGAATCACTGGAACGCCACTAAGCGGAGGCAATTCTCGAGGCGAAAATGCCGAACCAAATGGCCTAAGCCTAGTACTCTCCTTCAGAACTATATCAAGAATCTCCACGTAGGCAAAGAGGGCAGTTCTACTGAAAGAACAATAAATATAGATGATCATTCTAGAACCTTCCACAACACTTCTTCAGTTAGTAGTCCACCGCGGATTAATCCCGAAATCGAGTTCTGCAAAGGATACGAATTTGATGATGTCACAGATTTTACGTTCGACTCGTTCATGGATGATTTTGATGCTGATGAGTTGGAATTTGATATGCCTCCAATGTGTGAAGTGAAGAAAGAGGTTGATTTTTTCGACGGGATTGCATAATTAAGTAAGTTAATTATATCGAAAGACGAAGAATTACTTCGTTGGGAGGAAAATAATAGTTCGTTTCTAATAGCCGGTTTTTTTCGGAATGTCCGAAAATGAAATTAGAAATGAGTGAGGATATATATAGTACTAATACTAAGTTGTTTGGTATCATGAAACTATGTTGTTTTTCTTGCAATACTCTTTCATAGCAAGTGCAATAAGATACATTACGTTTCCATTCTTGTACTTTGACTTGATATCACTTTACCCCCTTCTGCTTTCGATTGCATCGATTTGTCTCTCTACACTTGAAAAAATGTCTCAATGTGGCCCTCGAAGTTACTTTTCAGACCTTTAAACCTTTACACAGTTTGGTCTAAGGTCTGAAAATTACAAAAAAACTACTCCTCCCAATTCAAATAATTAATAAAAAAATTAAAAAATTGTGGTTTCGTCGTGGACTAAACTTTCTCGTTGTCTTGAATTTTTTTTTTTTTTTGTTTTTTAATATTTATTTAACTGGGATGAGTGATATTTTTGTAATTTCAGAGCTTAGACGAAACGATGTTAATGTCAAATGTCTGACAACTAACAACGGAAGCTACATTGGTACATGTTTTCAAGTGCAGGAGGCAAATCGATATAGTAAAACAGGGTAAAGTGATATTGAGACAAAGTTGGGGGTTAAATTTGCCCTACATTTAAAGAATACAACATCTTAATTCTAACACACGATTTTTTTTTTTTTTTTTTTAAATGTATATATTTTATAGAACTGATAGATTTATAAGGTAAGGTCAAATTAGAAAACCCCCTCATGTTTGAGTAATTACAATCACCCTCAACTATGAATTTTCCTACATGTTTACTCATGCGGTGTCAAATTTAGTGGAATCTTTTAGATTATGTAGAATATTCTCCATAGTTGTACCCATTTAACCCATTCTAGCTCTACATTTTGAAACAAAATGATCATAAGATGTGTCTCTTTGATTCTATATATCAGATTGTGGTGCATTATAAACTGTTTTTTTGTACAAAACAAGTACAAACTAGAGAACATTTCACGGAATCTAGAAGCTTCTGTTGAATTTGACACAGTAAGTGTGGACGTGTAAAAAAAATCATAGTTGAGGGGTAGTTATAATTACCCAAACAAGATAAATTATTTCATAATTTGACCTTATCTCATGGGTGACCGTAATTTACTCATTTATAAATTAGTAACTAACTTATGTTACTTCTTTGAGACCTTGATTTGAACATAGCTTAAAAAACATCCATTTTAGCATTAGCTAAAGACAACCCAATCTCGACCCCCCTTCGTATTCCCTCGACTTACAAAGGCTAACCGATCCACTAAAATGAATATAAGCAATTTTTCATATTTTTCGGCTTTCCCCATCTGAAATCTACACCATACGGATCGAATCTTTAGTGATCCAGTTGTCGTAAGCAACTCTTTTTTTGTTTCGTTTTATACGCTCTAGTTCTAAAAACTGTTTCATAGAACCTTCTAGAAGCCCCTCTCGTTGTTGATAGTCTTTCGAATGGCCTCACTGATCGCCTCTACATCAAAAACAACCCCATCATCCCCTTTTAATAACCTGTGTGTTGACTCAGCCAGCATGACCGTTACGCAATCGTCTCAGTTTCCCACTAGAGAAATAAGTTCTCCACAAATTACCGTCGTATATAAGATCAGAAAACATGTTCTTGTCTGCAATGTACACTGTGTATGCATATTTGTTTTCGGAAAAATACAGTTTTGATCTTTCAAGTTTGCACTGATTACATATTTAGTCCTCTATGTTAAAAAAAAACACCTTTGGTCCTTCACGTTTCAAAAATTCAACACTTTTAGTCCATTCCATCAAATTTCTGTTAAAACTAACGAAATCAAGCATCGCTGCCTTAACTGACGGACTAGTGGTAAATCGACGAAAATTACAAAAAATGTTAAATTATTGAAACATAAGGGACCAAATGTGTTCTTTCTGAACATAAATGACGAAATGTGAAATCAATGTAAACTTGAAGGATAAAAAAAACTGTAATTTTCCCATAAAAAATCAAGAAACTTATGCTTAGTCGCGTGGCATAGTGAGTCAAAATAACTGGTTAGGCCGCGCCCATATATTCAATTATTTTCTGTTAAAGTAACACAGTACAAAAACGGGACAAAGTACAAGTGACCAAATTCTATCAACCCTTGTCACTATTTAATATATTTATAGTTATTTCTAAATTTAATAAAATAAAGATTACATCTAGAGCGAAAATTAAAACATCCCAATCGAAAATATTTTATACAAAAAAAAAAAAATTAAATTACAGATACAATTCATGTATATAACTTATGTTGCTTCATTCATTGAGTCCCTGCCTATAGATCACTTCAAAAGCATCCATTTCGACCTTCGACATCGACAAACCAATCTCCACCCCTCCTTCAAATTCTCTCGACTTACACATCGAAACCGATCCATCGCAATCAATATGAACAGCCTCGTACTTCTCCGGCCTTCCCCATCCAAAATCCGCACCGTACATATCGAACGTTGGCGAACCACCTACTCCGAGCACCCGTTTTTCCATCAAACCTAAAATATCCAATTCATCCGGACTCTTCTTATCACCGCCAAAAGTTTTCTGAATAGCCTTCTCGATCGCCTCTGCAGCAAAAACAATCCCTTCATTCCCTTTTAGCCTTCCATGAGTTGACTCAGCCACCACGAGTTCAAAGCGGTTACCGAAGTAAGTCTCGGGCAGCGGGGTGTTTAATCGCCCGTGCGAGTGCGCATCACAAGCTAAGTACTCCGCCTCGTCATCCACCACCTCATCATTGGCCAACTTAGCCATGCATGTCCACAAGTACGCGCATACTATCACGAAAGACGAGACGTTGGGTGGGCCCCGTTTCTTGAGTTTTAGGGTTTCGGCATCGTTCAATACGAATGTGGCGCGGACTTTATTTGTGGGCAACTCGGTGGTTAGAGAAACTGTCGGCATGTAGGTTTTCACATTGTTCCAATGTTCGGTTGCTAGTTTGTCGCCGTGTGGGACCGCGCTTCTGTCGTAGAAAGGAAGATATTTTTGGCCGAATGTTAATAGATGAGTGTCGTCACCGTTTAGTTTGGTGATCATGGCCCATGTTTGTAGAAAGGCGATCATTGAAAGCCCGTCGCCTATTGCGTGATGGTTGGTGAAGCCGATGCAGATACCTTGGTCCGGAAACAATGTAACCTATTACCAGGCAGGCCAGTGGCGAATCCAGGTTTTTAGTTTAGTGCGTTCCAGTTTTACTTGCACTACTGTTAAGTGTATATTTTTACACTTTATCGTATCTTTTTATTTGAGCTTTTGGTGTGTTTTAACGATAATTGGTGCTTAAAAAGTTGATTTATTGTATTTTAGGTACAAATTGAAGAATTGGAAAAGTATGGGGTCAAAACTGCAATTTTGGCGAAAATATGGGTCAAAAGTGAAAATATCAAAATTCTGAAGAAACAAGGCTCGGACCCCCGTCCCAGTTTTAGTGCAAATTATGGGACCCCCGTCCCATACCCCGAAGTTGCGCAGTAAAGGGATTTTAATTGCACAAGGAAACTGCCTTCTTCCCCAAGTTCTTCACCCTATATAAGACCAATCCAAGCACACAATTGAGGATCTTTTTACGCAATTTCAAGAGCAACAAAGCAATAACGAAGACGAAGAATTCGAAGACTCCAAGCAAAGATTTATCGTCTATGATTTATTTTATTTGCGTTTTTGCTTTAATCATGAGTAGCTAAATTACTTGTTTCTAGGATTTTATTTGGAACCCTATGTGGGATTTATGAACCCAATTCTATGATTTTATGCAAGTTTTAATTCCGGATTATTTCTTCTACTTGTTTTATTAAGTTCATGAAACTGGCCACTTTATGCGCTTTTATGTTATTGTTAATCGCATGAATCGGAAGATCGGGTTAATAATTAGAACTGTGGTAGAAGAGCCTTTGTGGTATTAACATAGGAATATAGTTAATCTCTTAGGTAGCCATTATTGAGATTTGTGCTTAATGCTTTGTTCTAGAATTAATTGCATAGGAATATAGTAATTGAATCTAGAGTATTAGAATTGTATATACACGCGGAAGCGGGTTATGATTATTTTAGTATCTCAGGTTAATAATCCGGGTTAATTGCTTGCATAATTGAAGGAATTGGGGGAGTAATAATCACATAGGGGAAATAATAAAATCCTAGGCTTGTCTACTTTGATTAATCTTCGTGTTTAATTTGATTTCTTGCTTTGTCGTTTTAATTTGCTTTTTAATTTAATCTAGTTAATTCTCTCAAAACTCGACTGTGTAGGGTGGGCTTGATAATAATTGGTAGAATTTAGCGTCTAGGATTAAGTAATTAAATATTCCCTCTGGGTTCGATATCCGGACTTAATTGTCCACTATATTACTTGTACGATACGTGCACTTGCGTGTAGGTTTTCGACCAACAAGTTTTTGGCGCCGTTGTCGGGGAATATTTTAATTATTTAATTTATTCTAGCTCTAGATTTGAACAATTTTCACGATTCACCCATTTAATTTTTGTTTTGTTTTATTTTTTTTATTTTAGGTACTGTGTATGCGTAGGAGACTCGATCTTGCTAGAGAACCGTTTGATCCCGAAATCGAACGTACTTTTCGAGCCGCTAGGAGACTTCAACGCGAAAACAATACAATGGAGGATGAAGAACGCAGACGGGCCGCGGGCAATTTACTCGAGGCCAACGGAAACCAAGTCCAAGACCCACCCCCTCAAATTCCAGCACAGCCGGCAGTTCGTCCACGAGCACTTCAAGACTACATAATCCCAACTCTAGACGGATTCCGCCCGAGCATCCAATATCCACCCATTGAGGCGCACAATTTTGAGATCAAGCAAGGCCTTTTGACGATGCTCCAAAATAACGGGCTATTTAGTGGGTTGGCAGGTGAAGATCCCCATCTTCACATTGTCAATTTTCTAGATACCTGTAATGCCCACCGTCAAAACGGCGTTTCCCAAGAGGCGCTTCAATTAATTCTCTTCAAGCACTCCCTACAAGGAAGAGCTCGCCAGTGGTTGATGTCCCAAGCCCCCCACTCTATCTCGTCGTGGCCTCAACTCCTCAACCTTTTCATGAAAGTCTATAGCTCACCCGAGAAGGACGAGAGAATCCGACGAGAAATTCACAATTTTGTCCAAGAGCAAGGCGAGCAATTATACGAGGCATGGGAGAGATTTAAAACTCTTTTGCGGCAGTGTACAACACATGGAGTCGAACAATGGCGGCAAATCCACATCTTCTACCAAGGGATTAACGAGAATGCACGAACGGTCTTAGATGCATCAACCGGGGGAAATTTTATGAGTCAATCGATACCGGATGCTTTCATCATGTTGGATCAAATTGCTCAAAATCGGTTTGCCAAGTCAAGCGAGAGGACAGTTAGTGGAGCTAAGAAAGTTCCCGGAGTGTTGGAGTTAGATGTAATTACGGCCCTTCAAGCTCAAGTGACCCAAATTGCTCAACAAAATCAACTCCTTCTACAGCACATCAAAGCAAGTCCACCAAAACAAGTTCAAGTAGTTGATTCT